GCTGCTAGTCTAAAGTTTTAGTTCACGTTGGGTTTTGGTTAATTAATTCGTTTAGAGCTTTTCGTTTCGTTTCGTTGGTTGTTTGGGAGTAAAACGTTTCAAAAATTGATTTTTTTAAATGCTATTTTTGTTGTAGTAATAGTTTACGAAAATACGTTGTAAAAAAGACATGTGTCTGCAATTTGGTTTTTCAAAATTTTCATGCAACGTTTGTTGATTTTTTTCTCTGCTTTTTTTTCTTTCACTTCACTTGCTGCGCTTCTTTCGTGCTGCTAACAAATTTTCGACTGTGCGAAAATCAACGGGCTACTGCGAGCCATACGGCCAGAGCGAGAGAGAGCGAGAGCGCAAGCTGTTGAGAGAGCGTGCGCCGATGCCGCAGCTGTCATCAATCTCGCTCTCACTCTCTCACTTTTAACGTAGCGGCTGCTGCAGCTGCGAAGCTTTCCTTCAGGGGCCTGTGTGTGTGTGTGTGTGTGCATATGTATACTCTATAAGAATTATACTCTTTGCTTAGATATCGGGCGTTTGTTACTCATGCATCGCCATTACGCTATGCCTCAAATATTCGACGTATCAATCATGCCTTGAGCGTTAAATGCAGCCAAAAGGCGAACGAAGGCTGTGCGAATCAATATAAATAAATAAAGTTTGATTTAGTTGACCAAACGTTGACTAGTAAAATGCCCTGTAAATTAATTGAATTGATTCCAACTGTATACAGACTCTCCCACTACAGTTTTCATACACACAGCTGTTTACTGTTAGTTTTACAATCGAATAATCGAATAATGGTGCATAAGAAAAGGGATATGGGTATCTATGAACGCAACATATCTAAGCACATGTCAACTTGAGTTCTTTTTAGAGAGTATATAAGAATCACAATAAATTGACTTTTCTCTAAGGCATGAGCTAATTTTTATCTATCTATCTACCGACTGCCTTCTTAGCTATATCCCAAAGCTTACTTATCTAGCCATACATATGCTTATATACACACATTCTATAAATAGATATATTCTCAACAAGTACTTTCGTTATCTAAACAGCCACAAAATGTCAATGCACCCTTTTTGGCCAATCAATTTTTACTGGGTATTCAAAACATTGCGTTCAAGAGCTTTGCGCTAGCAGTTTGAGCAGCACTGCTCGCTATTAGCACCTCACAAACATTACGCTATTTGCACATACTTAAGGCAAAGAGACAATAGAAACTATATTCAACTGAAAGCACCTGGGAATCACATGTATATCATATTTCTATTACGTGAATTGCTGACGACTTTCTATTCTAACATCCGCTCGTCCGCTTGGCCAACAGCTAGATAAGTCTTGTCCCAGTCATTCAGTCAACAAGCGTTATCTACGCATTTACCTGGCTTTCTTATCAGACAGTTATTAAGCGTTTACAGTTGAGCAAGCACTGTGAGCACTGTGTTGCATAATGCAACTGTCGCTTATATAACAACAGTTACCCTGCGAAACAAGGTCAAAAGTTCAAGGACTTTAGCTTGCATAGAGGAAAAGCTTACGCGCTGCCTTTAGGTAACTTGAGCTCGCTCTCTTTAGCTTGCTCTCTCGCTCTCTCTCTCTTCGATTGGCTGTGCATGTGTGTGTGTTCGCTGCTGTGGACTTCCGTAGATATGTATCAGCGTGACTGTTTGTATGTCTGACTTTTGTTGATGTTTTGATTGTGTAACAGCTGCTGCGAGCGCCCTGAAGTAGGCAACAATAAAGAAGCATATATTGAAAATTGCTTGCAGACTGAGAAGGGGAGGGAATGTTGGGGCGGTGGCCGTGTCTTGCGTTTCATATTTATTATCTTTGCCATGCCATAATATTTGCAGCCACAAAGCCGCCCATAGGGGCATATTAAGGCTATTATCCATTTTTGTTTATTGTTTTCAGCACGTCTTTGTATTGGTAGAGGTGCGTGTGTGTGTGTCAGTAACTCTGCATTGTGTTTATCTTTTCATTACATATTTATGGTAGAGTGTAGTTCAGGCGTACTGAACTGTTATTTAAGGCGCTTCCTTAGGGCTTACTTACCTTAAATTAAATCGTACAGAAAACTTTGACTCTGAAGCCCTCGTTAAGGTAGATGAAGCATATATCGGAAAGAACTGTGTCTTCGACAGTTATATAGCTATAAAGTCAAAGTATAACGACTTCCTGTAGTGCTTTTCACTGTGCTGATTTACTAACAAAATTCATATAATTTTTTACATTTTTTTCTACGTTTTTTCCATCTATATTCTTCTAAGACTCTCAATGTATGTTCCATAAATTTAAATTTGATATAGAAAATAAATTTTTTTTTTCAATTTTCCACTTTTTACTTCATTATCTATATATTTTATATGTTTCTACTCTCTCCCATTTACTTCCGCACATTAAAAACTTGGCTGAAAACTCTTCTCTTTTTTAATCTTGAAACGTAGTTTATTGATCTTTATTAGATTTTTCTTTGATACATTTTCATTGCTACTGTCAAATATTTGTGATTTTTTTTTTGTTTTTAATTATTTTTAATTGTGGTATTTATATTTTGTTGTTGTTGTGGTTGTAACTTTGCTTAAATTTATGATATTGCATATGCCACAAAAATTTCTGTTGTTGCTTTTGTTGCTTGCTCTAAATATTTTTTAAATTGGCATTTAATAGAAGCTTATACATTTTATTTAAGTTTTTCTCATTTTCACAACTCAAAAAGCTCGCAAATAAAAATATAAATTTTTGAAATAAGTTTTTTTCGTTTAGTTTTTGACATAAAATGAAGCATAGATAAATTGTTTTCTCTTTTGTTTTCTTTATGTGCACATTTTGTTCAGTTGTTGTTGTTGTTACTTAAACACTTCATTATCTGTTCTTTGTGCTCTTCTTTGTTTTAATGTCTGCTTTACTTTTCGCTAGGCTAACATACTACTACGCATAGCTTGAATATATACTCCAAACGAGCAACTTTTTTCATCTGTTTCCTCTTTCTAGTTATGTTCTTAAACGTTTTCACTTTGCTTTTTGCAAAAGTTTCTTTTTTAGTTTGTTTATTTTGTTGTTAACCTTTGGTTGGTCGCATATGTTTCGCATTGGCTTTTGTGTATTCTATAAACACTCTTCTTCCTACTCATTTCCTTACTCTGTTCTTGTTGTTGTTATTTGTGTGTTTTGTGTTGTTTGTTGTTGGATTTGTTTTTTGTTGTTTTTGTTTTTATCACAGCTTTCTTCTATACACTTTTGCGCTTATGTTACTTGTATTTTATTATTTAAGCATAACTTGCATATATATAAATTTGTTGTTGTTGTTGTTTTTAATGCACTAGTTGTTGCTTGTTGTTGTTGTTGTTGTTTGTTTTTAGTGCTCCGCTTTACATTTGCTCTAATACATACGTTAGCTTAGTTTTGTGTGTATGTGTGTGTGCGTGTGTGGAATGATTTACAAAAAGTTGTTGTTTTCGTTTTAAATACAATAAATGGCATATAAAATATATATATACTTATTTTGTTTTTTCTTCTTGTCGAGTGTTCGTTTTTTGTATAGAAAAAGAAACATTACTCATACGCAGCGTTTTTGGAAGTGTTTTTGCTTTTGTTTTTGAATGAATTGTAATACTTTTGCATTGGATTGTTAAAACAATAAGGTCGGAGCTACAATTGTACAGTTTCAAGTTAAAGATCATATATAGGTAGATATATATATTTATAGTTATATATATGTGTATATATATATTCATGTGTTTATCTTTGGTGCACTTCTGGCTGTTGTTGTTGTTGTTGGAAGCAGCATGACACGTTAATCACATTTAATTGTTGTTTTTGTTGGTATGTACTAGGCTTAACTAAATTACATTGTGTTTGTTGTACACACACACACACACACATAGACGATTGCTTAATTTTTTGTTCACTTTACAAATTAATATTCGCTATTGATAACAAAAATACATGCATAGTTTTTTAGCTTTAGCTATATGTACACCTGGTTGGATAGTGTAAAAGTGTTTGTGTTTTCTTTCTTTGAGATCGCATTTTGCTGTTGCTGCTGCCTGTTTGCTGTTTCATTATTTGATCGAACAATTGCCACCACAGAGCCAAGTCGAGTCGAGCTGAGCCTTTGTTCAGTCTTTCGTTTATTTCATTTTTTGTTTGTTTCTTTTATATTAAATTTGAGCAAAGTTCTTTGTGAGTTGTTCGCTTAAATGCTCAAGTGATCTTCAGGTACCATTTACATATATATATATATATATATATGTACATATACATATACATATATACATTGTTTGCCTAGCTGCTCAGCTGCTGTGCACCTGTTGGGCAATTGTCTTGGCAAACAGTTGAACTAACATTTCTTTTTTTGTTGTTTTTGTTTTTTGTTTTGTTTTGTGCAAACATAAGTAAACTATATAGTAGTTATTGTATAAATGAATGCCTGTTTCTACGAAAATACAAAATACTCAAGTGTTGCGATTGATTGCATTTAGGTTTTACGCGATTTCAATTCAATTCTGGCTAACGCATGTCTCTCGTTTAACAAGTTTTCATTACAGCACACGCCACGTCAACTGGACTGTTGCTATATAGATATATATCTTTATATATATATATACATGAATATGTTGCAGGCGTGTGTTGTTTACAATATGCTTTACATAAGCTGCTAATATCACTTTTTGATAACTACACAAATGGCTCATCTTCTTGTTGTTGTTACAATTGTTGTTGTTGCTGTTGTTGTTGTCTTATCACAATGGAGCGCCAAACTTTTTACATTACATATTCTTTCATACATTACAAAAGTTAACAATTTTTTGTTGTTTCGCCAATTGATTGAGCTAACAATTTGACATTGGTCAGTTATTTTTTCTTTTCAGTTTTGGTTTACAAACATTTTCAACACGTTTTTGTTTTTTTTCTTCTTTTTTTATATATTTTACTTAGCTAACTAGACAATTTGCTTAACAATCGGTTGTTGCTGCTGCTTTTGCTGTAACTGGCTTCACTTTTGCTTGCTTGCTTGCATTTTGTTTTTATATTTTGTTTTTTAAATCACAGTTGTTGTTGCTTATAAAATGATGTTCTCTATATATCATCCGCTCATCCATTCCTTCATATTTCGTCGTCTGTCCTAACTATCTTACTTGTGTCGCTGTTTGTTGTTCTAACTTTCTATTATTAGGTTAACAACAAACTGCCCGTTAATGTGTACTTGTTTGTTTACAATTCGTTTTACATTTTGCATTTTTGAAGTGCTCAAGTCTTTTATATGCCCATTAACATATTCTTTCATATTTGTTTTTACTGTGTGTGTCTTGGCCGAACAAAATTAATTTGAAATTTTATAGAAGTACTTAGTTTAGCATACGAAAGACAAAAATTAAAATATAATTTGTTAGTTATATAAAGGCTTTCCAATCGTTTAAGTGTTTACGTTATATATCAAAAGTCGTTTGTTTTTTTTTTGTGTTCCTATTTTTTTGTAACTTAACAGAAAAGTTAAGAGCTTTCCCTTTTTCAACGTTTTTTTTTTGTTTTTATGTTTTGTTTTTTTTTAGTTGCCTACGTAAAAGTTTTACTAAACGCTACAAATTTCTATGCGCTCGATTTGATCACGTGTCATGTTGTTCTGCTGTTGTTGGTTGGTTGTTGTTGTTGCTGATGTTGCATGACGTTGCTTTATTCGATTTTTGGTTGCATTTGTTTTTGTGTTGTGCTTTAGTGGCTTAGATCCTGGCGCATCAATTCATAAACATATTTATCTCTAACGTCGTAGTCCACTGGTCCAAATGCCTCGCTGGGCAGCTGCTCGGGGTCCACCCGCGTCCATTGTTGACCCAACAACGAGCACATTTCCTGCAAGGCAAATATCAAATGAATTCTGAAAACTTTATCATCTATAGTCAGCTACTCACCTCGTTGAAAAGAGGTTGCGCTGCGTTGTTGGATTGCCAATCGATTTGCGATACTTCGAGTCGTCGCAGCTGGCGACCGCGCAAGCGCGCGATACCCAGCAAATTGTGAGGATCTACTGTGTAGCCATGGACGACGATCTCTTCGAGCTGTTTGCAGCGCCAGGATAACATAACAAAGGGATCCTGGCGTCTAGTGTGACACATATTGGAATGCTTGCTCAATGAATCAATGTAGTAGATGCTGCGCAACGTATCGCTATTGTGTACCGACATCCAATCGAGAGCCTCATGATTCATATACTCACAGAAGAGCATCCGAATGTGAGTGACAGGCATGTGACGCCGCAGGATGCGCAATTGCAACTGCTCGACAGCCTCATAGGCATAGACGAGCGTCAGCACCAGCTCAATGTCCGTGAAATGTGTTGAAAAATTTGACCAAGCTGCCTCTGAGACATCGGCATGCTCCTCCTGATCAAGGCCATGCACAACAATGAGTAGCTTACGCAACGGCAGCACCTGTATGGTATGCAACAGCTCATCGTTGAGCGTATCATAGTCCAGAGAGAGCACTTGCAAGGCAGCACATTTTTGAAGCAACGTAGCATCCAGCCCGAGTATAGGATAGTGACTAGGATCATATTTGATGCTGGCCAGCGTTAGCTGCTGCAACTCCTGCGGCTTGCCCATGGTCTTTAGAAAGTCCTGGCCATAATAAGTAAGCGCTTCAATGGCACCCAGATCCAAGATCTGACACGCTTGATGTTTACGGCTCAAAATCAACTTTAAGGGCTCCACGAAGCATCTGAAAAGGAGGGAGACATTGACTAAGTAAATAATGGGGCAGAGCTGATCATAGATTTCTTACTGTTCGATGGCAATCAGATGCTCGCTATGCATATTACCGGCAGCGACAAGGCCCACATTGTTGGTTTGGAATCGCAAGGCTCGAATGTTATCACATCGCGCTGCTCTAAAAAGCAAATTAATAAAAGGGATGGTTAGATGGGTTATTATATAGAATTGAGTTTATTACTCACTTGTAGAGCAGCCGACGCATTTTCTGTATGTGAAAGGCATTGTGAAAATCGAAGACTATGACCAGCTCCTTGGCCAGATTGGCCATGCTGCGATGGAAGAACGACAATTGCTCATCCTTAGCCACGTCAATGCGAAAGCGAAAGTTTCTAAAGTAGCTGTATGGGTGACGAAAGTCCAAAATAAATTCAGAAAAATAAAACTGTTTATAAAATTACTGTTTCAGCTTGGTAAACCGAGCACGAAAAGTAAACCAACAGCTAGAATTCAGTCAAATAAATAAACTTTTAACCAAAAACCGTTTCAGCTTTACAATGCGCAAGAAAATTATGCGTACAGCTGAAACAATTGATGAAAATAAATTTAAATAAATTCGTGATAATTCATTTCACTAAAAAAAATTGAACTAATTAAATATACTTTTATTTGTTTTATTATTTTCAAAAATGTTGCATGTTACTTTTCTTGCTCGTTGTTCTTGATTGTCTTTTATCAAAACAATAATTTGCTTTTAGCATTGAAATGGAGCTATAACATTTTTTTTAATATTTGCCTAACATGATGTGCGATAACTTTTGTGGCTCGCTGTCTCAGCGATGGCAACATCAGCTGTGTGTTTGGCTACATATGTATATACATGTGTGCAAGTGTGCAAGTGTGCAAGTGTGCATATGTGTTTGTGTAGCAACATTTTCATTGTTGAGGTGTGTGTGTGTGTGTGTGTGTGTGTGTGTATGTATGTGTGTGAGGCAGCGCTTTGTTTTGTTATTACACGTATTAATAAATGCTTTGTTGTCTTTCAAGGCTTGCCAGAAACTAGAAAAAACAAAATAGAAAACACAGGCGGCCCGCCCACTGGGCCCTTGCTTGGCATCTGGGCAAAACAGCTGTGCGTCACCTACGGAGCAGCAGCAATTTGTTTGTTTGAGACGCAAAAGCGAAAATGCTCACAAAACATAGGCAAACACACACACACTCACATACATTTATGCTTATATGCATATGCTTATAAGTAAATGCACATATATATACATACATATAGATGTATATGAATACTGTTAGGACTTACCGTCTTTGGAAAAAATGTTGCCTCCATGCCCAACAACAATTGGCTGCAGCTCTGCGGTCTCGCGTATCGAGATAGTCGAATATTTGATTTAGTGCCACCGCCGGTATTGTATGCCATTGGGGTATACTCATAACTATAACTATATAAACCCAAATAAATCCGTTTTCCTTACTTTTGATTGAAACTTGTTAATTTTACTTTTTTTTGTGCGACCGAACAGTACGACGCAACATCGACCAATTAAGATACAGAGCACTGCTAATTATCTCTACACATAACAGGGCGCATTTACTGTTAACTAACATGCTTTTGGTATTTGGTTTGTTTATGTGGTATTTATAATGAGGGTCGCATACGGTCACATTGCGCAGAATGTGGTAATAAGTTGATATTTTGTTTTGAATAATGTCATTGCTATTGGGCGCCTGCCGGCGATTTAAATATGGTTACATGCATGCGAGATTTGCCTCTACAGAACTATCAGCAGCAGCAACAGCTGCCACACAGCTTTCCAATGCTAGCGGCATGGTTGGCTTCTGGCAGACATTATCCAACAGCACGCCGGTGGCCTATATGCAGGATGCACTCATTCAAATACATGATTATAGTGGATTACCCTGGTGGTCGGCAATAGTGCTGTCAACTTTTCTGTTTCGGAGCGTAGTGACATTGCCTTTGACAATTTATCAGCATAGAATAACAGCACGCATAGAAGGGATTGCTCTGGAAATGCCGGCCATAGTAGAGGAACTGAAGAGGGAGGCGGCGAGGGCCAAGCAGAAATTCAAGTGGAGCGACAAGCAAACGGCAGTTGTCTACAGAAGATCGGTTCGTAATTAAATAGAAAGCCAAAATATACAATAACCCCAAGTATTTGCAGATCAAGAAACAATGGCAACAGCTCATTATACGTGATAATTGCCATCCCATGAAGACAATCATTGTGCTCTGGGGACAAATACCTTTGTGGATTTGCCAATCGGTTGCCTTGCGTAATTTAGTTTATATGCTGCCCGATCCTACAACGCTGCAGGCACAAATCGTAGCCACAGAGCTGACCATTGGCGGCTTTGGTTGGATTCCAAACCTGACAGTTGTGGATGGATCTTACATACTGCCTGTTGCACTTGGTCTCATCAATTTGGCCATCATTGAGGTGCAGACGATGACGCGTACGCGTCCACAAACACGTCTGCAGAGCATAGCTAATAATGTCTTTAGAGGATTGAGTGTGCTAATGGTGCCCATTGCTTGTACTGTACCGTCAGCTCTTTGCGTCTATTGGGTGGCTTCCAGTTCCTTTGGCTTGGCACAAAATCTGCTGTTGCTTGCGCCGGAAGTGAGGCGAGCCGTGGGCATTCCCAAGACGCAAACAGAGCTCGATCAGCCATACGATCAGCTCTGGCTGAAGATACAAAAGCGTGCCAGAATCTTAGAAGAGTCGCCGGCTGACAAGTCGACTAACAAGTGAGCGCCACTTGTCTTATATATTGTATATATATCATTCTGTTAAGTTTGCTTAGTTCGTTTATTTGTCATGTAAATAGAGAGAGTTTGTAGACAAAGCCACGCGACTGCATCATCGTAAATCATTGGTTCATCCATGCAGACTCATCCAGTTTTCTAGAAATAAATTGTGTGAAATTCCCCCAAAACATAGCAATGTGTAAACAATTAAGAATGATCTAGTTTAGAGAGCATGACTGGTGGCTACCCTGTAAACAATTAAGAACGTTTCAGCTGCCCCGTAATAAGTTTAGTTTTGCAAGATTGATTTGTAATTTTAAGTTTTAGAGATAAGTTCTGTGTTTTAGCCTTATATTTTCAAAATTGGCTTAAGGCTGCCTTTTACGGATAGAATTAGAAATGTTGAGTATGCAAATGGTTTTAAGGAATAGTATTTGATAAAGCAAAATGAGATATTTATCGGCTTAATGAGTGAGACTATGTACTCATAACAAGAACTGTTCTTAGCTACTTTCTTTACTTTTGCTACCATCTGGCATCTGTTTACAGGGTAGTAGAGGAGGCAGCACAACAAATGATAAGCGACTATCAAAAGGTCTAGATGATTGCTGGCAGAGATAAGACGGCATTCAATTGGATGCAGCACCAGCAGCATCCCAATTGAAAGATTGAGAATATTTCTGCCTTGCCTCAGTCGAGCTTCGAAGCTCAGCGTAAGAGCAGCTAAAACATAAATAAGTAAATTCGTATCACTTTTCGGGCGAAGCGCTATCAGTGAAAAAAAAAATTAAAAATATATATTATATATATAAAAATAATATATATAGGAAATAAATTGAAGAAATGATTGGGAGAGCTTGGAGCCTGGCTCTGGCGCTTCTTGTCTTGAACGTAAGCAAATATAAATATTTCCCAATTGATATGAATTGGTTTGGCCTATTGAATTGGAAGTCTGTTCCACTGATCCACAGAGAGAATAGTATCTATAGTTTCTATAATTATATCAATCAAATTTTCTAATTGCGTCTTTCTAGCTAGCCAAAACGTTCGCTTATCAACCTGACAGCTATAATGATGGACAGTCCGGGTTATCAGCAACGACTCAGGCTCAAGACCAGGTGGCTTGTCCGCCCCATTTTCGAGGATTGAAACCGTATGAACACGATTGCCATCGTTTCATTAATTGTGCTGACGGTCGTCCTGTTATACAAACCTGTGGACCGGGCACGGCTTTTAATGCAGTTGTACAGACTTGTGATCACCAGACTCAAGTGTCGTGCGAGGGTCAATTCGGCCGTTCGGCTCGACTGCAGGAGCGTCCTTTGCAACCGCGATGTGACCCGGGCTTCAGTGGCTTACAGCCACATCCCACCGACTGCACGAAGTTTCTTAACTGCGCCAATGGACAGACTTTTATACAGAATTGTGGACCTGGTACGGCATTCAGTCCATCTAAGTTGGTTTGCGACTACAAGCACAAAGTGAATTGTGCAGAGGCGCCAGGTCAAGGTAAGTTAGACTTTTATATCCGAACATGCGTTTCTCAACTAACACAAGCTCAGGTGAAGTGGAAGACACCTCGGTTGGTCTTCGATGTCCACCAGGTATCCGTGGCCCAGTTCCATTTCCCAACGATCCCTCGAAGTATATTATATGTGAAACTGGTGTGCGTCCACGATTGGAGCAATGCTTGTCGGGTTGGGTATTCAATGCTAACAGCTTAACCTGTTATTTTAATGGAGCTTCCCCTGTGTCAGCTGATTTCTCTTGTAAGTTGAACTCCTCGTCTTTTATATGTATGCCTTGGTCTGCTTAGTTCACACGCTTCTCATTGGGTCTCTGATTTCATAGTTTGCTCTTCATGCGCTTCCAGCCTTTTTGCTTGCTTTATTCTTCTTGTAATCCTAATGAACCATCTCAGCTGTCAGTCGATTGACTGGTCTACTCTGTCCAGGAGGCGTCGAAGGTCTGTTTGTTCATCCTTTTGATCAAACGAAATTCCTTAATTGCAAGGCGGGTAAGATAATTGTACAGAGCTGTTCTCCTGGTCAGGCATTTAGTATATCGCAGGGATATTGTCAAGCCAAGGCGCAGCTGCAATACACAGACTATGTGGCCTACATTGTCTCCCAGATAAGCAACGAATATTGTAAGTGTCCACTCTTTATAAGCTGTTCAAAGCCTCAGGCTCTTCTGCCTCCTCAGCTCTGATGCTCACTAGCTGCCCAGCGGGCACGGACGGTCTTCATCTCTATCCCTACGATGCGGGCAAATATATTCGTTGTTCAGGACAACAGCTGTCAATTCTAAGTTGTGGAGAAGATTTAGCGTATAGCTTCGTCCAACGCGCTTGTCGACCAAGTCGACAAGTGACTCGCACCGAAAGGGTTAAGTTCTTTTCAGAGCTCACTCTTCAGGGAGGCAGCTATAGCTATACAGATAGTCAGGCATTCCAATCTGCATTGAAATCTTGTCCAGTTAACCTTCGTGGTAACTACGCCTATCCCTTCCATGCGGGTTACTACGTGCTGTGTCAGAATGGTTTGCTGCAGGTGGAGTCCTGTCCAGCGGGGTCTGTCTATAGTCTGTCTACAAGGAGGTGCTCGACTCGCCAGCAACTCTCCTCCCACGATTTCCTGGACTATGGTTACTTAAACGTTCAACTCTCTAGTAAGATCTTCAAGATAGTCTGTCCTTGTTCTCTTGATTGTTATTGATCCTTCCCCTTAGCTAACTTCATGCAAGACCTCACAACTGTTACATGTCCTGCAAATGCTCAGGGCTACTATCTTCATCCTTTTGACTGTACTAAGTACTTAAGTTGCCGGGATCAACAGACGTCCATAGAAAGCTGCGAAAGGGGCGAGGTGTTCAGCATCTCTCGGAGGCTTTGTGTGGCCAATGATCAATTGGTAGCTGCTTATGATCGAGTGGAGTATCTAACAGATACGCAGCATGAGTTCTATCAGGAGAATCAAGCTCATCAAGGCCGAGAACTCCAGACTAATGTACAGTCTACCTATGTTAATGGCGAAGTGGCTTGTCCCCCTGGAGCGAGTGGAGTTCAACCTCATCCCTACGATTGCACCAAGTTCCTGAATTGCGCTAACGGGCAGACTTTCATTCAGGACTGCGGACCTGGAACAGCCTTCAGTCCATCCTTGTTGGTCTGTGACTTCAAAGATAAGGTGGATTGTGGACAAGGTCAATTGTATACTGGTCAAAGCAAGACGAATTACGGTGGCTCATCAGGTCATGTGACAGGCTCATTTGCGGGACATGAAAGTGGATCGTCAAGCGAGTCATCTATCGGATCATCAGGTTGGGCATCAACCGGACCTAGTTGCCCAGTTGGAGCCAGGGGGAATGTTTTCTATCCCAACGATGCCTCAAAGTATGTCATATGTGGAATTGGCGTGAAACCACGTTTGGAGCAATGTCCACAGGGGGAGATATTTGATAGGCACAGTTTGATCTGCACTCCAACTGGAAGCCCTTCTGTTCACACAGACTCTACCTGTAAGTTGAACTATATTTCTATTACACCTTGCTTTGGTTATTTCATACGCTTCTCATTTGGGGTTACGGACTCATCTTTTGCTCTACATGCGCTTTCAGTTGCCTGTTTGCTTGTTTAGATTGTAATCGTAACGAATCCCCCTAGCTGCCGCCCGACCCAGAGATCTACTCTGTCCAGGAGGTGTCGAAGGGCTGTTTGTTCATCCCTTTGATCAAACGAAATTCCTCAATTGCAAGGCGGGAAAGGTAGCTGTTCAGAGTTGCATTACTGGCCACGTCTTTAGTATCTCAAAGGGATATTGCCTACCCAAGACGCAGCTCTTGTACACAGACTATGTGGCTTACTTTGTCTCCCAGATAAGCAGCGATTATTGTAAGTGCCGCTCCATTCTTAGCGCTTCATAGCCTTAGAGTATTACTTCCTTCAGCTCTGATGCTCACTCGCTGTCCGTTGGGCATGGATGGTCATCATCTCTATCCCTACGATGCGGGCAAATATGTTCGCTGTGTTGCAGGAGGAGAGCTCTCTATCTTGAATTGTGGAGAGAACATGGCTTATAGCTTCGTCCAACGCGCTTGCCGTCCAAGTAGACTAGTGACTCGCTCCGAAAGGGTTAAGTTCTTTTCAGAGCTCACTCTTCAGGGAGGCAGCTATAGCTATACAGATAGTCAGGCATTCCAATCTGCATTGAAATCTTGTCCAGTTAACCTTCGTGGTAACTACGCCTATCCCTTCCATGCGGGTCACTATGTGCTGTGTCAGAATGGTTTGCTGCAGGTGGAGTCCTGTCCAGCGGGGTCTGTCTATAGTCTGTCTACAAGGAGGTGCTCGACTCGCCAGCAGCTCTCCTCCCACGATTTCCTGGACTATGGTTACTTAAACGTTCAACTCTCTAGTAAGATCTTCAAGATAGTCTGTCCTTGCTCTCTTGATTGTTATTGATCCTTTTCCCTTAGCTAACTTTATGCAAGACCTCACAACAGTTACATGTCCTGCAAATGCTCAGGGCTACTATCTTCATCCCTTTGACTGTACTAAGTACTTAAGTTGCCGGGACCAACAGACGTCCATAGAAAGCTGCGAAAGGGGCGAGGTGTTCAGCATCTCTCGGAGACTTTGTGTGGCCAGGGACCAATTGGTGGCTGCTTATGATCGAGTGGAGTATCTAACAGAGACGCAGCATGAGTTCTACCAAGGTAATAAAATGAATCATGAGGGTCGTGAATTTCAGACTAATGAACAGTCTGGCTATGACAATGGAATTGTGATCTGTCCCGAGTGGAGTTCAACCGCATCCGTAAGACAGCACTAAATTCCTGAACTGCGCTAATAGACAAACATATATTCAGAATTGTGAACCTAGAAAAGTTTTCAATCCTGCAAAGGGAATTTGTGATTTCGCTGATCAAGTGAATGGCGTGGGCAGGACTGAGGAGACAGTTCCTACAGCTAATCTCGCTTGCAAGCCAAACGCTATTCCTTCGCGTGGTCTGTCTTGATTATGTTCACGGCCTTTTTGCACATCCCTTTGTTGCTCGTAGCTCGGACAGATAACTGTCAGACAGTGCTCAGCAAGCGAAGTGTTTAGTCTATCGCGTAGTTACTGCACACAAGGAGAACTTGTGCCGTGTACGGATCGTGTTTCCTTTAACTATACCGAGGATCATTTGGAATGTGAGTTGGATGATTGGAATTAAGGTAAAAAGAATTTACTTGATGATTATTTTTCATTTGCAGTTTTTAGTTATCCCTTCGACTGCACTCAATATATGAGCTGCGAAGAGCGTTTGACCCATTTGCAGAGCTGTCCCAATGGTCTACATTTAAGTTTATCACTGCGCCGCAGTCAGCCACTAGAGCAAGTGCTTAGATCGCGCTTACTTGCCGAGTGAGCTGCACATATTCTACGAATGGTGGCAGCAGATACAACGTGTAGGGCCGAACTCCACGACAGTTTGTCCATTTGCTTTGACCGGCAACTATCAGCCGGACACATGCATAACTTGTGTAGCCCAATGTGCAGACACTATTTTATAATTGCTGTACTGGTCAGGTACTCAATGTGTCGCACCGTTTGTGTGTGCTAGAGAATCAGGTGCCCGAGAACGATCGGTGTAGCTACCCTCAAGACTCCTATGGTTCGATAGATCTGCGTTATGGTTACTAACAATCAGTTACCCTGGGTCTTTACACATATTTGTAATTATAAATCTTAACTTTTGCAGACAATCGAGAGTCGAAGGCCTATGTGCAGCCCAGCTATGGAAATGCTGACCAATTTGGCAGTGAGTCGGGCATTAAGACAACTATTACGAGCGGTGGCAATCGCTGGAGTAATATGAATATGGAACGTCCAGCTGGCATTGGCTATGGCCAGCCACAATCGAATGGATGGTCGGGCCAGGGCAGCTTCTATCAACAGCAGGCGCCTTCGCAGAGCGTGCTCTATGTGGAGGGTTCACTGCTGCCGAATCGTAATTATCCACCAACTACTCCAAATACAATCTTTAAAGCACCACTTGCGCCCATGTCGCCTAGCGCAGGCGATGTGGTGGCAGCTGTTCCATCGACACGACAGAATTTTAGTCGCTCGCAGAGGCCACACCGACCTTACAGTCCTACTCTACCTGGACAGCAGCCTCTAGATCTCGACTATGAATCAGATCCATTGGGTGAAAGGCCTCGATATCAGCTGCCTAGTGAAACACGTCGCGATCACTTCCGTCCTCCCCAACCCGGTCTACCCATTAATCATAGTTCCACTCCTCATGGTCATGATCAGTCCCCCAGCTTTACTTCAATCCATTCACAACCAAATGCAATTCCGGGTCAGCGACCTTTAGACCTAGACTACGAGCCAGATAGAAAGCCTAGTTTTCCTGCTCCTCGTGATCAACTGCCCAGTGAATCGCACCGCGAACATTACCCTGCTGCTAATCCTTCCTACCCCTCCAATCATGGCCAGCCCCATCCGGTGGCTGATGAATCAAATTTGTTCGGTGGTCTGCAACCGCCTACACCTCCACCTCAGGGCCCTGGGCTTACGCCAATTTATTCACGACCAAGTCCTTCACCCGGACAACGACCCTTAGACCTTGGCTATAACCCAATACAGAGACAGCCTTCCACTGGCTTTGATCCAAGTCATAAGCATCCAATCTCGCCTGCTCCGGTCTTACCAGGACAGCGACCACTAGACCTAGACTATAATCCAGATTCTGATTCGGATACTCAAACAACTCTTGACCAGCCTTATCCCACTTACCGTGAAGCTCTACCTCAATCTACAGCAGCTGTGCCTGCCAACCACAGTCCCACTTATCGTGGTCAGCCCCAGCCTGTGGCTGATGAATCGAATCTGTATGGTGGCTTGCAGCCACCCACACGACCTACTTTACCAGAGTCCACAACGATTCCTACCACCAGCACAACTCAATCGAATTTGCGCACGTTTCCCATTTACCCACCTGTGTTCAATGCCACACCTGCACTTCATCCACACTATAGTCCGCCCTATGCAGGTGTTGCGCACTCACATAATACCTCCTGGCAGAAGGTGCCAGCGCGTGGACGAGTGCCTGATCCCTTCAATGATCAGGATGAGTATGATGAGGCAGATTTTGGTGAAACGACGAGTAGCACCACTGAGCGAAGTGCTTTGAGGCCACCTCCGTTCAACCACAATTTTTACAATCCAACACAGAGTGCCGTATCTGAGCCGTCCTCCAGGGATGCTCTTAACGAAGCGTTGCGCTTGATGCTGCGTCCCTATTTCAATCATAGTGGGACTGCCAAAGAAGCATCAGTCGAACGCGCTGAAGCGGCTATTGTCTCAGCTATAAGCAGACCACTGACTAGCACCACGACCCAAAGAACTACCCTTGAGGTTAGCCGGACGCCCGACGATGACGTTGAACTGATTGTGGCTGGCGAGCAGTCGAGCCTGGACATTGACCCTGACGATGACTCTGTTGTTCCAGATGCTGTTGAAACGACGCGCACTGAACAGACCCTAAATCCCACCACCTACTCATCCGGCTACGACACCACTGACTTTCAACGTGGCACACGACGAGTGGACGTCGACAGCAGCACGAATTCAAACTTAACACCACAAACAAATTCCAACAATTGGCACAGTCTTGAATTTCATCGACGTCATCCAAATCTGCCTGATCCTTTCGAGAAACCGCAACACAATCATCACCACCCACACCACCTGCATCACGGTCCTCAGCACCACCACCACAGCCCTTCCTTCCATGCCCGGCATCCCGATCTTCCCAATCCTTTTAACCCCACTAACGAGGAGCAACCGAAAGAGGAACCTAAGCCTACTCCAAGAGCACAACCTGATCCTGAGCCTAATCAGGATGTTGATCCTGACTCGGAGTTTGAGGAAGGAGACTTTTTGCCTAATCCGAATGCAGAAGCAACAACGCCACATACACCTGAGATAATTTTCCGCAACGGATTCGATGAACCCTGCGAGTTTGACTGCGGTGGGGGCAAGTGTGCAAAACAATCGCAGATCTGCGATGGAGTCAATAACTGTGGGAATCGAAAGGATGAAAGCCAGTGCGATCATCTAGGCTATCAGGTGCGATTGACAGGTGGCGAGAGTCCTCACATGGGACGCATAGAAGTTAAAGGTGAGTAGGATTGAAGCTTTGCTATTGCCAAGTATTTCACCACTACGCTTATCCCCGAGACATTTCCCCACGTCTTGCCAAGTATTAAGCCACAAGGTATTTTGCTGAATCTAGCCAAGTTTTCAATCATTTAAATTCAGCCAAGTGTCCAAACACAAGGCATATCCTTAAGGCAATCCAAGTATTAAACCACAAGTCAATTCCTCAAATGAAGCTAAGTATTCAACCACAACGCTTATCCCTGAGAAATTTTCCCATATCTAGCCAAGTATTTAACCACACATTATATCCTTACGGCAATTCAAGTATTCAACCAAATGCCAATTTCCCAAATCTGAGACATTTACATGAGAAAGACAAGTATTAAGCTAAAAGACATTTCCGAATCTGAATTCTGAATCTAGTTAATTCAATTCAACCACAAGCCACTTCCTCAAATCAAGCAAAGTATTCAACCACAATATTTATCCCTGAGACATTTCCCCAAATCTAGCCAAGTGTTAAACCACAAGGCATTTCCCTGAATCTAGTCAAGTTTTCAATTATTTAAATTCAACCAAGTGTCCAACCACAAAGCATATCCTTAAGGCAATCGAAGTATTCAACCACAAGCCAATTCCTCAAATCAAGCCAAGTATTCAACCACAAGGCGGATCCCTAACTATAGCCAAATATTCAACTACCGGATTTATCCTTAAGTCTAGCCAAGTATTGAACCACTCAAATTAACACAAAGCCTAGCCAAGTATTGAACCAAATTTATTTTATAGTTAATGGTCAATGGGGTTACGTTTGCGATGATAAATTTGGTCTACCCGATGCGGATGTCGTTTGCCGGGAGTTGGGCTTCAAGATGGGCGCCTTGGAAGTGCGTGGCAATTCATATTACGAGCCCACTGAGCGTAACTTCAACTATGTGATGGATAAACTCGAGTGTCGGGGCAATGAAACGAAGTTGAAGGATTGCGATTTTATGGGCTGGGGCGTGCACAACTGTGCCGTTGACGAGGTGGTGGGCGTGGTCTGCAAAGTACCTGTGCTAAAGTGTCCCAATAATTTGTGGCTATGCCAGGCCTCCAAGGAGTGCATACCACCTGCCTTTGTCTGTGATAATACGGTGGATTGTGCGGACAAGTCGGACGAGAGTGACGCAGTTTGCAAGGTTAGTTGAGCTAATATAACTTTAATAGTTTCGGTCTGAGTCGTAAACTTTTCTAGGCACCCATTGAGTACCGTTTGGAGGGTGGACGCAGCTCACTTGAAGGTCGCCTGGAAGTCAAGTACCACGGCGTCTGGGGCAGCGTTTGCGATGATGATTTCAATTTGAAGACCGCGCAGGTGGCATGTAACAGTCTAGGCTACTATGGACCAGCTGTAAGTGGGAGACAGTCCTATTCGAGCTAGCTCTAGCTAAATTTCTTGTACTTCTAGAAAATCGAGAAGAACATTTTCGGTCCAGGCAGCGGACCCATCTGGCTCGATCAAGTGATGTGCCTCGGCAACGAGACGAGCATTGATTTATGTCGTCATTGGAATTGGGGCGAACACAACTGCAATCATACGGAGGATGTGAGTCTGCGTTGTACGGTGGGACCGCCGCCGAGACAGGCACGTCAACGCACCCGTCTGCAAGCCTTAAGTAAGGATAAAAAAGGCGGTCAGGCCAGCAACATTAGCCTGTCCGATATTGGTCTCTGGGAGAGATCGAGCAAGGCGTTGCGCACGCCCCGACGCTGCGGCATCTTCAAGGACGATCTCTTCGATGAGTTCTTACATCCGGAGCAGCGTGTGGTGCAAGGCAATGTGGCGCGTCGGGGTCGTCATCCGTGGCAGGCGACGATACGGACACGTGGACGTGGCGGCATCTCCAGCCACTGGTGTGGTGCAGTGGTCATCTCTAAGAGGCATCTGCTAACGGCCGCCCATTGCGTCTACGGACATCCGAAGGGCGCGTACTTTGTGCGCGTGGGCGATCACTATGCCAACATAGCGGAGCACTCAGAGGTGGACTCGTTCATAGAGACTTGGTATACGCATGAACAGTTCCGCCAACCCACCCACATGAACAACGACATTGCTGTGGTGGTGCTGAAGACACCACTGAAATTCAACGACTACGTGCAGCCCATCTGCTTGCCGGAGCTTGGTGCTCCTTTGCTTGAGAATCGAACCTGCACCATCTCCGGCTGGGGCTCCATCAAGTCAGGCGTATCCAGTGAGTAACTCGCCTCATCTCTCTGTGTTAGGGTATTAACCGGGCATATTCGCTTGCAGCTCCTTCCCAAGAATTGAGAGCTGCGCAACTGCCCATCCTGGCAGATACGACGTGCAAACAAATGAATGTCTATGGCGATGCCATGACTGAGGGTAAGTGATTGAACGATTGATTGATCGATTCGTTGATTGATAACTGATTTATTTACTTAGGAATGTTCTGCGCCGGCTCCATGGATGCAAGTGTCGATGCCTGCGAGGGTGACTCTGGCGGTCCGCTTGTCTGCTCCGATGAGGGTAAGTCTATAGAGATTATTCAGCTCATAAATGCTAATCCTGTGCTCCTTGCAGATGGCGAGACACTGTATGGCATCATATCGTGGGGACAGCATTGCGGCTATCAGAATCGTCCCGGAGTCTACGTGCGCGTTTGTCACTATGTCGATTGGATCTACGAGAAGATCAACCAAAGTTTGCGGCGATTCTAATAGCAGTGTCGCCACACCCATTTTCCAAAGAAAAAAGTGAACAGTTTTTAGTACAGCACCTAAAAGTCGGCAGTGGAAATGATCGTACGAAGGGGTCGACACGGCACACACGTAGGCTAAGCACACATAATCAATGCTAATAAAACGCACAACAATAACAAGAACAAGAAGAAGAACAACAATAAAGATGCTCAGCAAATTTAATTCACATGTTGACTCGATCCAAACACTTTCCAGCTCCCTTCCACTCTGCCAGTCTACATACTCACATTCATTGCCAGCTTTAAGCTTCTCTTTCTATATGTTGACTCGGTTTTGTGGCTCAGCCAATTGAACGGCTACACACACATATGCGCACGATCAATTGTGAAAAGTTGTCGCGGACAAAAGGGGTTAGGGGCTTGGTTCATTCACATTGTGCGGGTGAGAGTGATGCGCATTAAAAGCTCAATAATTAACTTAATTAGCCAATGATCAGCGCGGGCTACGCAACAAACTGAACGAAAGAGTGCAATTATACTTGTGGACATCTCACTCACACTTTTGCCTTGTCACCTTGCAATTGTTCTATACTCTCGCTCGCGCGCTCTCTCTCTCTTCTTCGTTCATTTCTCTCTCGCTGGCTGCGGCTTAGTTTCGCGCTTCGTTTAGCGGGCAGTTCTGAGTGGCCTTTCGTAAAGCGCAGTCGTCGTTTGTTTGTTACTTTAACAGTTCAAGCCTTACGCTTATCACACACATACACAGACCGACACACACATAGTGCGAATCCGCGCGATGCTATTGAAATTCGTTGCATTTTTTGTGATATTTGGCATTTGCTGTTCGCACGGCGCTGCCAACAATTTGGATCATTATGTTTATGGGTCAATGGAGGGCAGCACAACCACAGAACGCCTTAATGCGGCCGTGCGTTGCGTCAATGTCAAGCCACAAAGTTCCGTGGATCTGGAGCAGGTGAGCGGGCAGTAGAGACAGCAAGAGAGAAAGGAGGAGTGAGTGAGACGAAGAGATGCGAAATTCGACATTTGCATTCATTACATTCTGCAAAAGCCAATTAAAATGGGCGCTGGTTCAGTTCAGGGCTGGAGTGAATCATAAAAGTCTTGTCCCGTGAACCTGAATTCATTTCCTAGTGAATCAATTAAGCTTACATTTCTAAAAAATATGCATGTAAAAAGGTTAATTTATTAAATTGCAAGTGCAATTATGTTGATTACATTCATTTTCAAAGCATTTAAGAAAGTATTCCAATATATAAATTAAATTGCATAATTACTCGGAAAATATGCACAATGATTAAAAATATATAATAATTAAAAATATAAAATATATATTAATCGCATTAATTTTCTACAAAATTATTTCTTATTTTTGGTAAAGATTCGAGCAAAATATATCCATATAAGGAAACCAAATTCATTAATTTATCTAATTAGACTTTAATTTTTAACAATTCTTTCATAATTATTAATTAAATATCTCTGCAAAGAAGTCAAACTCGTTTGCTTGTTTTAGTAATCCAATTAGGGCTGATTTGCCCTAATTAACCCTTTTGACTATATAGGGCATAAACTAACGTCGAGTGCTGAGTGCTGTCCAGACGGTTCGTCTGTCTGTAGAGTCTGGCTGTGGGTGAGTCTCTGAGTCAGTGCCTCAGCCCAACCGCCAACTGTCCACTGTCCAAGTGTCCACATGCGGGCTGCTAATTGACAAGACTCACATGCAAAACGACATGCTCTCGCGTTATATACGTGTGCATATGTATGTGTGTGCGTGTGTGCTCATGTGTGACATAGTTTATTGATTAAAATTGAATTATTGTAAAATTTGTTGACACACACAAATTAAAATGTCAACAGCCAATGTGAAAGAGTTGAAAATGAATTGAAAAAAATCAAGTCAAAAAGTGAAAAGTGAAAAATTCATGCAGCATGCATCAAAAGCAAATTGAGGGGGAAAGTTATTAATACAGTTTAAGGCAATTTCAATTTAAATATTATATTAAAATATTCCTATGGTCACTTTAAGAGTGTATGCAATAGCTGACAGAGCTAAACATATGATAATTGGGATCAAAGCAATCCCAATTAAACTTTTAATTTTATAAATATTTAAATATAAATTGATCGATCTAGAACAATTTTTCTATGTGATTCATATATGTATATATAATATACGAGGTGTCTTCAAAAACTATTGTAAATTCTTTTTAATTACTTAAAAATATCAATTATTTGTGATCATCTTCTGCTCCTACTTCGATATCCTCTTTATCTCAACCTTCGATATCGAATATGCGTAAATCAAACATCAAAATTAGCAATACTTTTTGAGCAGACCTCGCGATCGCTGATCAGCAAAAAAAGCATGAGTTTATCTAGCATAAAACATATAATATATTATTCCATTTAATTACGAATCTCAAATATTCAAATTCATATATATATATGTATATATATATATTTTTTTTTTATTCATTAAATTAAATTACAGATAATGGGCCTCTGGTATGGCAGCGAAATCATAATGCACAGTCAAGATTTTCCGGGCGTATACGAATACGATTCGTGCGTCATCATTCACCTGACCGACGTAACTGACAAGGTGAGGTGGAATCCGTGCCTATTTAAGCAAAACCCTGTTTACGTTCGGCAAACTTGTTTGTCTTCTTTACCAGGTGCAAACCAACTACAACAACAGCAACAATAATAATAACCATTATGGCTACAATGGCTACAACAGCAATCGCCATCAAAATCAGAATCAGAACAATTATCGAACGCTGCCGAGCACGTCTCAATATCAGGAGTACGATAACGAATATACCCGCCAAGCGCAGCAGCAGCGCATGAGGTATCTGCGTCTCGTGTGGAGCGAGCGGGACAACAATCTGGAATACACCTTCAACTATACGGCAAATGCCCCGAATGTCTGGTCGAATATTGGCGATCAGCGCGGCAGTCTGGTCACACTGAACTCTTATACACAGTTCACGGGTACCGTACAGGTGGGCAAGGCGGTCAACGATCACCTGGTGTTAACCTTCTGCGGCAACGATGTCAAGAGCTCCATTTACACCGTGGTACTCACGCGTAATCGATTGGGTCTTAGCAACGAGGTGAGTCATCGAATATTGTGTTCGGCGAGTGTGAAGGGTAGAAAAGAGTTAACACAGTGTATGGGGTATATCAGGCTCATATTATAAGCTATACTCTAGAATCTAGTCTCCATGCTCTATATTCGACTTCAAGCTGTTTAGTCTTTATGCACAGTGTATTATTATTACTTTTAAATATTAACTACATCTCCCTTTCCCTCTCTCTTTCTCTAGGAGCTGCGCAGCATCCACAACATGCTCTCGCGCCGCGGCCTCAACACGGAGACCATACGCAGGGTCTGCAATGGTTCGGCTCGCTTGATCGTTGGGCTGCCTGCGCTGTTGCTGTTGCTGCTGTTGCCGCTGCTCGCCGTCAGAGGGCGTTGCCATTGAGTGAGGCCGTCTGCCGCACAGGAACCGCATTCCAGCCATACACTATGTTAATTTATGTCTAATCGACTTACTTAAGCCACTTGGACTTACAGTCACAGCTCGATTAACCAATTCTCTCTAGTTTCGATGCCTTAATTGCTCTTGTCTCGCCTCAATTAAACTCAATTAGTTAGCTAACTAACCGCCCTGCCTACCCTCCGCTCCGTTGTCTTGGCTCTGTCTAACTGTGTGTGGGCGTTAAGTGTGCTCTTAATTCAATTATCAAATCGTTACAAACATCGTTTTCTAACTTTTGATTCCCACGCCACGGCCAAAAAGTAGGCAACGCAAATTGCAAGCAAAAACCGCCGTTTTCACTTAACAGATAAGAATTTATTGCAGCTAAAAGTGAGAAAGAGTATCTATAAGTCGCATACGCCTGCCTTAGCTGCGTCGATTAACTCAGTGGCTCGTGCAGTGGTACCGGTACGATTTGTATACCCATTAAAAGTTTTCGAAATAGGGCATATCGAAGCAGTTAAGTATGTATACGAGGGTAGTCTCAAAAGTTTATCGTTTAACAAAAGAGGTATATATATATATATATATTTGTGTATTTTATATAATTAATAAATAAACTTTTAATTTTCTTCTATTTTTTAGAGCATTTGTTTAAATTTTATAGTCTCACCTCGCAAATGTAATAATGCTGGAGCTTAAATAGTTCCAAGTGTCATGTCGTATCATATCTGAGAGTTACATGACTTGAATATAAAGTAACTTATCGATTCATGACAACGATAAGTATCGATAAAAGAAGATTTGACTTTATTGATATGTAGCTAACATAGTGAGAATGATATATAGCTTAGACTATATATATTTATATATAACATTATCATCTATTTCTAATCCATTTCTCGTACGAGATAAATATCTAAGCCAGCCATAACAAAGAATTGCTTGTCGGGTAAGACTTCTAAGGAGTACAGGGTATTGCGCCGTCTGGCAGTGTTTAGCCCAGCACATTTCTTCGATGTTCAGATATGTGTCGGTTTTATTACTTCTTAACATTAATCTTATCAAAAAACTCACCCAGAATGCCCTAGTAACAAGCTTTCGCCAAGACATCTTATCAGAGATGGAAACATTTGGCGGCTTAGATAGACATCTTTTGTGGTGTATAGACATATATATATGTATACACACTATCTTATCGTTGGGGTACACGCGATTGTATGCTGTAGTCTGGCGAGTTTTATACTTGTTTTCGTTTGCATTTTTTTCAAAATAATATTTTTGATCTTTCTTTGTTTCTTTTTTTTGGACTGCTTCAACTCATAGCGCTTATCGCGCCATTATTGGAAAGTTCATTTTCGGCCAAATATTCGTAAACAAGCAGCTGATTTTCATATGGAAAGTTTTGTCCAATTGATAGACCCTTTGAGCACAGGGAGACAACGTGTCGTCTCTTATCGGGGCAGAGACACCTACAAACCCAATGAGATCCCCCCTGCGCTGAACGGGGTCCGCCCTTGAACTTCAAGTGCTTCGCCATTATTATTGTTGTTCACTATTTATTATTATTTTTTTTACTATTATTGTTAGCATTAGGCACATGCTTTTTCTAATTTTTTTACGATTGCATTTTTTTTGTATTGTTTTTCTTTTTTACAAATTGACTAAGCAGCTCACTTGAGCACCGACGCTCTGACTGCATTGATAAGGCGTCCAAACAAAAACAAAGACCAAAGACAGCGTCACACGTAGTCAGCTCATGAACAATAATAAAACATGATGTCAACATAGATATACGTAAGGTCTGAACACGCTGCGAACAGCTGTTCAGAATGGAGAGAGAAGAAGAAAGAAGCGAAGAAAGTGTGGAAGGAAGATCTGTTTTCCGAAAGATCTAAGGCCTTACAAGTGTCCTAGTTGAGCTATTGAGGCCTGGTATGTAGAGTAGGTGCATATCACATAGATGCTAAAGGAGGAGATGTTAAAGAACTCTGCATAAAGCTCTTAGCAATAGGTCCTGGTAAAAAGTCCAAGTGCAAAGCTCTGGAGGCGAAGAACCTGGGACATGGATCTAAAGACACAGTTCTTTAGAAAAAGTTAAAACGATCTGTAAATGAGAATTTTTAAATAACGACCTATAGATAAAGATTTATAGATAAAAAACTTGAGTAAACAATCTTTGATTAGATAGGTCAGGAGTGCCAGCGTGTCTGCTCCAGCTGCAAGTATCTGGATAAGGAAGTTAGTATACCAAGCCTATAAGAAAACCTACCTGATAAAGTAGTCTAAAGCATATCCACTTATGAGAACAACTTCGAAGTGGCTCTTTTGAAAGCGTTATGAGACTACCAAGGCTATGCCGTCAGGGCTCCATAGATAAACCGTAAATTGGCTAAAAGATCACGTCTATATAAATCGGCTATATACATTTTACATACATCTGATTCATCAATATATGATTTTAATAGTTTCAAACGTCACATTGTAGATTAAGCTCACGATCATTTGGCATGTTCAGGCTATCAGAAATTAGGTCGAAATAAACCCTAGATTAATACCTGAAACTTAGCTGTAAAAGTTGATAGGCAACTTAACCTGAATCTGAACTTAACAGTTATTCAATCGTCTACTATGCTTCAAACGTAGGTCTCTGGGTTCAATTGAAAAGCTGATTAACACCTGGTTCAAATCTGATGAGCTCCCTAGGTGGCAAAACGGTCGATAGACTTAGCAAAGAGATGAATATATAGTAAATGTATGTGGAACAAATAACAGCGGAATGATCAGTTCTGTAGAATGAATATGGCTAATAAATAATAATAAAAAATATATAAATATATATATATATATGTATATGAGCATAAGGTCAGTATATATATAATATATATAATATTGACTGTTCAGTAGCTCACTAGACTTTAGACTGGCATAAAGGATGCGATAGAGTGTTAATGCAATTGATGCATATGTGCCAAGGATAGATGAATAGACATATATATATACATATATATATATATTATAAGCTAGTCGATCAATGGCAGGCAAGCTGCATCAGCTCTCGAGAATTCACATGTCATTCACATCTCCGGGATCTTCGAGCCGGCCTTTGGCAATCGCGTGAATTGCCGTTTGGCGTAAATTGTGTCAATTGTGCGAGCTTTGCGTCAGCTGTAGCGCAGATCAACATATATATTATATATACACATATATATATATAGTATTTAAGTATTTGGCCGATGACGACTTTGCACTTTGAGCTGCGCACATGGAAGTAACTGAGCCAGTCGAGTGAGCTCGGTCACCTGTGCATTGAGCTAAGAAGAATGTAAACAAAACTGTGTCGCAGTTGCAGCGTCTGACTATTCATACGCATCATAAACTAATCAATTAATAAAGCCAACATCAAAGAAGGGGAAAATACAATAAACGAATGTACACGCAAGCGATAAGCGAGAACTAGACAAAACAAAAAAAAAAAAAAATGTTGATAAGCCGTTGAGCTATAAAAGCAGCGCCGGCTGCTACACAGCTAAACAGAAACGTTTTGCCACTCGAACGCAACGAGACAATATTACAAATTATTAAAAAACAGCAAATATATACCAAAAGGAACTATACAATGTCGGCAGCTAATAAAGTGAACTATTTAGTCGGCGCCACATCGCGTTACATTGCCGGACGCCATGCTGTACAGACGGTCTATTGGCGCACCTCCGCCGGACCCGATTCCCGCATGCTGAAGACTAAGAAGACCTGCGAATTCGATCGCAGTCAGAAGGCGCCGCAGAGTGTGCGAATGCAGCGATACAATCGCAGCTTCATCAACAAGGAGTAGCTGCGCCTGCCACGCCCCTAACTTGTATAGTTCCTATCTTGTATATATATATATTTCGATTAAGGTATATTTATTGAACAGCAAAAAAACACACACAAATGAAATAAACTTAGACTTAAGCTGAAAAAGTAAATAGTCATTCGCTTACGTTAGTTGAGAACTACTGATAGGACTTCTTATATGCGTCATCGATGCGAGACTTCAAGCATGGGATCAAAGCATGTCGACTGTATGGCATGATCGGGGCCAAGTCAACGCCTCTGACACAGTTAGATAGCCTGCGAATGGGTTAGCCCAGAGCACAACTGTACTTCTTTTGAGTTTCAAGTACGAAGTACTTAAAAGTACTTGATTCATTTTTGACAAGATCTAACTGAGAATCAATAAGGGTATTCTATGTACTCTATATACTCTATATACTCTATATACTCTACATACTCTACATACTCTATATACTCTATATACTCTATATACTCTATATTCTCTATATACTCTATATACTCTATATACTCTATATACTCGACATACTCTATATATCTATATACTCTATATACTCTGTATACTGTATATACTCTATATACTCTGTATACTATATATACTCTATATACTCTTTATATTTATATACTCTATATACTCTGTATACTGTATATACTCTATATACTCTGTATACTATATATACTCTATATACTCTTTATATCTATATACTCTATATACTCTGTATACTGTATATACTCTATATACTCTGTATACTATATATACTCTATATACTCTTTATATCTATATACTCTATATACTCTGTATACTGTATATACTCTATATACTCTGTATACTATATATACTCTATATACTCTTTATATCTATATACTCTGTATACTGTATATACTCTATATACTCTGTATACTATATATACTCTATATACTCTTTATATCTATATACTCTATACTCTGTATACTGTATATACTCTATATACTCTGTATACTATATATACTCTATATACTCTTTATATCTATATACTCTATATACTCTGTATACTGTATATACTCTATATACTCTGTATACTATATATACTCTATATACTCTTTATATCTATATACTCTATATACTCTGTATACTGTATATACTCCATATACTCTGTATACTGTATATTCTCTATATACTCGATATACTCTATATACTCTATATATCTATATACTCTATATACTCTGTATACTGTATATACTCCATATACTCTGTATACTATATATACTCTATATACTCTTTATATCTATATACTCTGTATACTGTATATACTCCATATACTCTGTATACTGTATATACTCTATATACTCGATATACTCTATATACTCTATATATCTATATACTCTATATACTCTGTATACTGTATATACTCTATATACTCTGTATACTGTATATACTCTATATACTCTATATACTCGATATACTCGATATACTCTATATACTCTATATACTCCTCTATATACTTTTATGGATGAGCTTGCTGGACAACTTAATTGTAGCAACTTAATTGTCCAATAGTTGCCACGCCTCCTAGAGGCCTTATTCCGAGTTTCATGTACATACGAGCAGACGCACATTATATTGGCTTTGTGTTTCGCTTAGCTCAAGAGCTGGAATCCCTTCATTTTGCAGCAATCAGTTCTAGGAACAGCCTTGTATTTGAGCTGTGAGCGATTGAGTAGTCGTGACGCTACGAATATTCTTACTGCTTTCAATCCCTTATCAACATCAACAACTTTTCAGTTTACACATTCCACGCATTTAAAACACAATTTTAGCTTTCTCTTTAATTTATGTATTTTTATTTAGTTTTTATATTTATTACATACATTGAGTTCTCTCATATATATATATATATATATATATATATATATATATATATATATATATATATATATATATATATATACATATACATATATATAAAGATTTATATATCTCATTTATTTATGTTTAATTTTGTTGTTTGATGTATGGTGTGTATGTGTATATATATGCATATATATATACACATATATATAATTTGTATTTTTTTTGTATTTTGTATTTTGTGTTTTTCTTGTTTACTTCATATTTAGTTTTATAATTTCGTTTTAGATATCGATCGTACTTAGTTTGTATAGTATATTTAGCATTTAGTTAATATAATTCTTCCTCCTATTCTTCTTTTGTCGTGGGTGAAATGTTTACGTTTTTTTTACTTATTCATTTTCGCTTCTTCTTCTTTTTAAATATTTTTAATTTAATTGTTTACTTAAAATTACAGCCTTTATAAATAATTATTTTTTCTTGCTTTGCCTTGCCTTGCCTTAATTAGCCTCTGCATTTTCACTGCTGCTTCTTTTTTTGTAATATGTGTTTTGCTTTATACTTCATATTTCGCTTGACATTGTACTACGTATCCATTTTTTTTTATTTTTTTTTACTTTTTAATCTTTCTATATATATATATAGATTTTTTCGATTTTTGAATAATTTGCACACATGTATATAATATATATATATATATACATTTATATATATATATACATATATGTATATATATAATAGTTATCTAAATATATATTCAATATAGATTTTTTTTTGACAATTTCAGTTGGGCTTTTTTATTTATTTATTTCTGTTGTGTAGTGTAGTGTAGTTGCTTGAATAAACGCTCACACAGTGAATATGGCGAATATTGTTTTTTTATTTCTTATATTTTTTACTTTTTATTTTTTGCACACGGAAGTTGTAGTTGTACACATTAAAAACCACGAAAAAGTTGTTTTTATTTAATTTTTTTCTTTGGTTTTTGATGCTTGGAATATGTTTTTATTTTGAATTCATGTTTTTTTTTCTTTTTTACCTAACTCAATTCACACATTGAAAACAGTTTTTTTTCGGTTATCTCAAAAGAGAAAAATATATATTAATTATTATCTTTAATATTTGTTTTGGGATTTTGATTAAAAAATATTGCAGCTTCAAATTGTAATACTTCGTTTATTATAATTATCATTAATATTTATTTTTTTTATTTATTTTTTTTAGACAGCTGTGTTTGAAGCCAGCATAGAACACAGTAGATCTCGATCTCGATCTCATACTTCCATGCAAACTATACCAATTCCGTTCTATGCCAGTTGATTGGATATATATATATATATATCGATATACAGATCTCTATATATACCCAGATATATTCAGTTTGTTCACACCTGAATCTTGATCTGTGTTTTTTTGCTTTCATTGAATGTGTTTTGGGTTTTTGCATTTCTCATATGTATTACGTATTGGATGTATTTATATATATGTATATATATATATGCTATATATGTATGTGTATATATCTTATGTATTTGTAGTTGTATCTCTTGTATATATATAGACTCTTATCGTGTGGTAAATTTTTAGCTAGCGCTTGTTTTTGTCGTACGGAAGAATTTGGATACATTTCAATATTTTTTGGTATATTTTAAAATATTTTTTATGTATTTTTTAACTGTGTTTTAGCTAAAAGTTATAATTTGTCTAGAAGTTTTTCGTTTGCAGTTTTCCTTTCTTTTGCTAATCTTTGCTATTTTCCATTTATTTATAGTTTTAACTGGGCATGTGTGAGTGTGAGTGTGTGTGTGTCTTTCTTCAGCTAATTTTCTAATTTTGGTTTTTCTATTTTTTTTTCATTTTGCAAATTTGCTTCAGCATTTCCTAAATTTTTAAATAAAATATTCGAGTTGATAGATGATAAAATTTCGCATTTTGGACAAATAAATAAATTAAATTGGTATATAAATATTTAGTTAGTTTTAAGGCCAACAAATTTACTTTTTATTTTCAATTGTTTGTTTTCGGTTTCGGATAAATTAATTATTTTTAACTGGATTCATTTTTACTTAAATCAAATTTAAAATTTTTGTCAGCAGCAGGCAAATAAATTTTTGAAACTTTGATTAAATTCTTAATTTTTTAATTTGTCAGCAAAAGGCAAAAACTCAAATAACTGAAGCAGAATTGCCTTGAAAATTTGAGAAACAAAATTATTAATCAGTGTTGTAAAATACATTAAATTCATTGTTTTTTTTTTGTATATTCGACTAAAAATACTCAACAATTTTTTTGGTTTTTCCGTTTACTTGAAACCATTTTAGCTACAATTTTTTTATATGTATATATGCAGATTCATTATTATAATTCAATATATATACATATACATATATATGTATACATATATATATATATATATATATATACTTATGCAACACTCAAATTTGTTCAGTTTTTTCACCATTTGCCATATATGTTTTTTGTAGTTGTTTCTGTGTTGTTGAACCCGGAAGTTGTTTCAAAACTTTGCTACGAAATTTTCTTGTATATATATATATATACACATATATATATATATATATATATATAATGTCTATGTATATAAGTAACATATGTATGTGTCTGTATATGTATATGTGTATAAGAAGAAAATTCTCAAAAAATGCTTTTGCTGACAATGATCCAAAAAAGTTTTCTTGTATACCACAAAAATGAAACGTTCTGGGGTTTTTATGAATCGAGCCTCTCTCTCTCTCCCTTCCTCTTACTCTTCCACTCTCTTCCTCTTTGATTTTAAGCACGTTCATCCGGCTTTAATCTTGTTTTTTTTGAGTCGCATCTCTTCCGCTTTCTACTAAATTATTTGTCTTCATTCGCTCTTAAGGGTCAGAATGGTTGACTTTATTTTATTTCTCAAAAAAGTCTATACCTGATGAAGTCTCTCTACCTACAACTTTTAGCTCAGCTTTCTCTCATTTTCTCCATTTCTTTCAGGTAAGTTCTCTAACAATCACTCTGCTTCTCTATTTTATCATTTGGTAAATGGAGCCTCTGCTGCAATATTTCAACTAAACTCAATATTTAATGCGAATATAGAAGCATTTGCTATCTCGCTCTAACGCTTACGTAATGCACCTGTGTGTGGATTATTATTTTTTTAGCTACTCTTTGATCTATACTCAAACTATTTTTTTTTTGTAGAGTTCGTTGCACGTTTATTGTATTTCGTGGGGGCTTCTGTAAGACTCTATAGAATCTCTGCCTTGCCCTAACCTCAATTTTGTTATACTGATGTGTGGTGTGTGTGCGTGTGTATGTGTATGTATGTATGAGTGTAATTTAATCACATTTTTTCTGTGTATGCGTGGTGTTACTATCATATAATATTGCTCTATATATTATTTATTATTTATTATATTCGATATTTTTCTTTTTGCTATTTTTTATGCTGCCCAGTTTAATTCTTTTTATTTTTTTTTAATATTTTTTATTCTGCTGTTTGACTAATAAGTACAATATCATAAAAATAACACTGTATATTTTTTGTTGTAAATATAAATATATAATATATATATATATATATATATATATATATATATATATATATATATATATATATATATCTCAGGTTTTTCTTTATTAAATACAAATATAATATATATATATATTAATATATATATAACCATATATAAAACGCGCACAAAAACTGAATTGTTAAATGAAGACTTACTCAATTCTCGTACCAGAAACCCAACTGCACCTATTTAGCTGCCCAGTGGTGTGTGTGTTGCCTTTGGTTTGCCTGTGTGTGCGCGGTATTTGGGGAAAATTCGTAAACACTTTGTTTTTGTTTTTAAATTTCGTTTTTTTTAGTTAAATTTTTTTTAAGCGTCAGTCTTGTGTAAATTAAATTTTACTTCAAAAACGTTTTAATGCACACACACACGCACACACACAGGCACACTGTCTTAGGGCGCGGCTAGAGGATGGGGGATTCCTTTCAGCTAGCCAAAATTTTGCACGCGTATAAAAAATGCTGCTCGACATATACAAACATATACATATATATATATATATATTTATACATATATTTTAATAAAATGTATATACATATCGTATATATATAAGGTTTATATTCAATTCACACGTAGACGTTCTTTAAAAATGCATTTGCTTATGTCAAAAAACGATTTTTCGAATTACTTTTAATATAAATATTTTTAGACGCCATCGAGATATTGTTCTTGTACATTCATATATATATATATATCTAAATATATGTGTGTATGTTAAGTACTTATTTAGTTATAGATATCTGTATTTACTTGTTGGCCCGCAGGCCGCACGGGAAGAGTTTTTCTAGAGACGAAAGTGTTTTAGAGGCAAATCAAATTTAATTGAACTACATTTAGATTACATAGAGGCTGAATTTCGTATATAAATATATGTATATGTATATATTGAAGGCGCCCGACTGCATTGATATACCCTTGAAGAGTGACTGCCAAGAAATTGATATGATAACTTATACAGCCAGCTCATAACTTCATATGTTCTATCTTGAGAGTTGGAGTGGCATCAATTGATATATAGAAGAATACTATACATAAGTATAAGCCACAGTACCCATAGATTTCCATGTATGTTCTATGTGAACTCAGCTCTGGCTGACGAACGTACTGAATATTGGTATGGCCTCAGTTCTCATGTAGAGCTGTAATATTTTACCAGCATGAATCATCAGTTTTTTATATGGCTGTGTGCTACGTGAACTCTGCCTTGGGTGCTGCGTTCAAGCTAAATGTTATAGTACCAGCCAATAAATTGTACCATAAATTACATCAATTTCAGCACACGAATGCCTTTCAGAAAGAAAGGATCCATGATTACTTTTAACAGATTATAGCCTAATCAGGTGACACAACGTACATCTACCTCAGCGATATAAAATATCTACATAGCATTGTAACTAATTTACCTATAACATCATCTTTTCAAGGGTATACAGGCTTCGGCAGCCCGAAGTTTATTCATATTTTTAGAGCTAATTTGACACAACCGTTTATATAATTCAACTATTCGTATATGATTCATTCGAATCCATATAACTTTGCCCATTCTCAAATAAAAATCGAAAAAGATTCGTTGCACGTTTTATGATTTTGCTTTTTTTTAAATCGCATTTTAAATCGCAGCAACCCGAAAGTATGCTACAAAAAATTTGCTTATTGCGATGCAGCACATTACGTATACGCCGAGTGTATCGTTGAAGTGTATGTGTGTGTGGGCGAGTGTGAAAATCATATGGAATATGAAATTAAGTAGAATAAATAAAACATTTGAAATGTTCGTTTCGGGCTCTTATTTATTTGCATGACAATTGGTAATTGCTGGCTAACTTTCAAAATTTAGAAAAAACATCATATACTATATATACATCAATATATATACACGGAAATGGCAACGAATTTTGTACACAAGCTAAGCCAAAACAATTGGAATGGTAAAAATAGACTTGGCAATATTATATATAGAGTGAATTATATATGGAAGAAACGTAGAAAATTTTGCAAACTGCTTGAGGTGTGGCTAAAGTTGTAAAAAGCACCTTGATCGACCTTCATTTAGAATCTTTCATTATTTATAGAAGAACTACGAAATCGGAACGCCAAATTATTGAACCCGAAACCAATTAGGCTCGATATATATTCTCCTTTCTATACACGAATTAACTCTATATAGGTTCGTTTCGATTGGGCTACAGTTGAAGCAAAGGACCAAAGGGATGGGACATATATATAGTAAGATTTGAGATGAGACTCGAGGCTATTGATTTTTTCTATAAGGGGGTGTCTTCTTGTAATTCATATACATATACGTATTTTAAATATATATATATATATATTTATATATATTTATATATATATATCTATATTTATATATATATATATATATACTTATATATATATATATATATATATATATATGCATATATATTTTGGGATTCGTGTTGAAGAATTCCTGAAGAAGTTTGGATATGCTTTGATCTCTCTTCCTTTTTCTTCCTCACTCTCCTCTGCCCGTCGACTGTGAGGCTTAGCATTTTCTCTCTCCCTATTCAACTATTCGAGAAACGACGTCGCGTCTTGCTGCTCTGCCTATTAAAAGTCCTAATGCTCAATTCTACGGCTGATGTCTCTTTGTTTTTATAGTTGATGTTTTTAGTTGTTGCGGCTGCAACGTAACTGCAGCCCATTTGAAACACTGGATTAGAAACGAAATAAACAGAACAATAGTAACGAAAATACAGGGAAACAATGAAACAATTTGAACTCGGAAACAAATAAACGAAAAAATTATGAAACTAATTTGCAAGTGTGTGAGTGAGTCTTTGAGTGTGTGCATGTATGCGTGTCTGTGTGTGTGTGTCGTGAGCGCCACCAATGCTGCATAAATGATTCTTTTCTTATTGGTTATTGTTGCCATTGCTGTTGTAGTTGTTGCTGTTCCTCTCTTCTTCGTTTGATATTTATGCATCGCCTGACCAGCCGTCGCACTGCATCCATCTCACTTGCTCGCATGCGCGCTAGCGTTCTTCACTTGATCTTTTACAGACGCTATACAACTACAACAGCGTGAGCTTTCGTTTTTGTATTTCCTTTTGCTACTGCGCTTGCGTTTACGTTTGCGTTTGCTCTTTTGCATTTGCTCTCAATTACTGTCCTTTTTCTTTCTCATTCTTCCAGTTGCTGCTGCTGGTGCTGTGTTGCTGTGCGTGTATGTGTATACGGTATATTTTCTTCGGTTAGACTAGAGGGTGACCCGCATTGAATTCGACTACATGGACATGCGCCAATTGGTCACAGAGATGTTGCTTTTGCTATTGTTACGGTTGTTGTTGTTGGTGCCATCATCAAACTCCCAAGCGCCGTGCTGCGGTGCATGATGCGGCATCGGTGGCTGAGTTTCTAACGGAAAATTAAAATGGATCTTTGGAATCGGGAAGGAATCAGATTTATGCGGGCAAACGCAATATGCAAAAGCAAATGGCGAAAATACAAATTTTACAACTAAAAAGCAAAACAAATAAATAACAAATAAAGTTGTTTTAGTGTGTTTTTTATGCATCTTTTTTTATGCTAAAATTGTTTAAGTAGCTGTTGCTTTATTGTTTTCTTTTTGCCTTTTTCTTCATTTGATACCCTGAACTCGAGAACTACAATACAGAGCTGATAATAAATTATTAGAAAATCGGACCAGTTTGTCGTTCGTCAATTTCGTTAAAAATGAAATTTTCTCATTGATTTTTTGTGCATAACTCGAGAAATATAGAATATATATGTGGATAGAATATAGTTAGCGTTTGCTTAACCCCTTTTTCTATTATCTTCCACATTTTCAGGGTATCTGCTAGTCGGACACTGCCGATTAGAGCACTCTAGTTATCTTTAGCTTTATTTGCTGTGTGTGTCTTATATATGTTAAATAATTGTGATGATCATTCATACATATATATAAATATATATGATATATATATATAGTTTATATGTAGAGCTAGAGCTGCGCATATATGTATATATATATTTATATATAATTATTACAGTTTTTCCATTTAATTGCTGTACTTTATTTAGGTAGGTTGTTACTTAGATACTAAAAAAACGTTGCTCCTAACTTGAGCCGCACTTTAATCAGTTGATTTTTGCTTTAAAATATATGTATAATATTTGTTTAATATTTTTTGTTTTTTCTTAATTGTACAGTTTATGCCTTTTGCTATGATATATATATATATAATTTTCCTTTTCAGTTTTGACTAATTTGCGTTTAGTTTTTTATGGTACATATACGTATATTATATATATATGCTTTGTATGTACGTTATAAATATTCACTATGTATATATATACATATATATATGCATGTATAAACTTAATAGATTTTCTCTTTTATTTTGTTTTTCTTTTTGACGATGGGACACAATCTGCTTTACTGCTCTTCGAAAACTTAAGAACCTCTCTGAACTCACACTCGAGAGCGAGAGTCCAGACAATAAAAATTGAGTTACAAACAGTTTTTTCTTGTATGTCAGCAAAAATGTTCAAATATATATAATTGTATATATATATATTTATTTCTTCTTCTACTTTTGTTTTTTAAACCTAAACAATTTATTTATGAATTTTTGCTTTTTTGTTTTTTATTTTTTCAAAATATCACGTATATATCTTAAGTTATGCCTTGGATTTATTAGTTGCTGTGTGTGTGTTTGTGTGTATTGGGCATTTTGCAGGCCATTTAACTGTACCTCAATTTCATAACCTAAAAGAAACAAGACGTTGGACTTAGGCTTAAGTACGCTGATGTCTGTGTGTGTGTGTGTGTGAGTATGTGTTTGGGGCTTATATATTGGTGGTTGTAGTTTTCAACTAGAGCATATCAATTATTCAATTATTGCTTTTATTTTCGTATGTTTTTTGTGTTTTCTTCTAATTATTGTTACGATTCGATTTTTTAAAATTTGTCAATAATTTTATTTAACTATGCAACAATTGAGTTTAAATATTTTTAAACGTTACAAATTTGTCAACAAGTGAAGTGTGGCGCAGGCGGCGGAAAAAAAGGAGGGGCGTGGCTAACTGCTTGCATATGCAGGTCATTTTTGTGAAACCATTTGGTTCGATCTTTAAATTTGATACATATATAGAATATATACATATTTATATATATTATAGTGGGCAAATAATTTAATAATTAAATATTTTCTGTTATTTTCAGCTAAATTTTGCACCAATTGATGAATTTTTTGAGCGCCGCCTTTGCCGTTTGCTGTTCGCCTTTATTTTTTTAAACTTAGTTATTAGGCCAAGTTTTAACAATAAGAGTTACGTGTAACAAAATAGGGTTTCGCGTCGTACAAATGAAAAACATGGGCGAATCATGGAGAGAGTTAGCCCCTTCATCCACATTTCTCGCCAGTTTAGGTATTCTTTCAGTATTTTTTGCTTATTATGCATGGTATTTTAGCACACTTATTGAGTGTCTATGTATTGCTTTAGGTATTATTTTTATATATATATTTTTTGTTTTTAATAGTCTCGCTATGTACTAGGCATTATATATACATATGTATACACATATATATATATATATGTATGGTATATTTTGTGTATATACTTTTTTTAGCTAGCATATATATATATATATTGAATATCTTTATTGTATAGGTTTATTTTTCATTTACTTAAGTTCTAGTATTTTTTGCCATCTTTTAGTATTTTTAATTCGTTTAAACTTCAGTTGTTTTTTGCTTTCGTTAAGACTACAATTTCGTTCAGTTTACCGTACTTTTTCTTGGCTTACAAATATACTATTTTACTTAGACTTTGTATGTGTATGTATATATATATTTTTTTTTATATATATGTGTTTATTAGTATGTGTATGGTGTGTTTGTGTTTAGCTTGCGCGCATGCTTTGTGCGGCAGTTGTTTTTTGCTGTATATAACAGTTACATTTATGCTTTCATATATATATACGTATGTATGTGTGTGTGTGTGTGGGTGCGTGTGTATTTTATATAAATTAATATTTATGCATAATTTATGTCTTTAACTTTCGTTTTGCTGCTGCTGCTGTCGCTGCTGCTCCTCGCCACCCGCTGCTATTCGCTCTCTCACTCTTACACGTATTGCCTTGCTTCAAATAAATAATATACTAGTTGACTTGAGTTGCTTCTCTCTTGTGAGTCTGTGTGTATGTGTATCATTTGTGCTAAATAAGCCAAAAATTATATTTCTACATATATCAAAATTATTACTTCGGTTCATTTCTGTCTTTCATTTGCCAGCTGCAGCCTTGCATTTCCCCTCAAAAAACTACCCATATCCCCCTGCCATCTCTTTCCCACCTCCGCTAATTGCACAAATGTTTGCCGACTGAAATACAGTCGAAGCTTCTCGCTCTTCCCGCTCTGCTCATTCGCCTTGCCGTTGCGCGCGCCCCCTGTTGCCTGTTTCTACAACTGAAAACATAAGCTGCTTATGTATGTATGTATTTGTGTGTGTGTGTGTGTGATTTCCAACTATGCGTATGTATATATATACATATCATTACAGATATATATATATACATGAATTTGTATTTATGTATCTATAGAAAATGTTTCTACAAATTGATTAATATTATCTTTAAGCAGCTGCTGCAGCTTATATAAATTCTATTAATGCTTTGTTGTAGTTGTTGCTATTGTTGTAGTAATTAGTAGCATCAGTATTTGTTGTAGTTGGTTGTTCTTGTAGTTGCTGCATCCTCAAAAGTTAACAGGGATAAATGCCTACAAGAAAACAGTCGAAGAAACATTTTTTGTTGCATACAATTCCAATCACAATACAACTACAGAGGCTGAGTATGTGTACGTGTGTATGTGTGTGCGCTCTCACTACTACATGTATACGTTATACAGCTACGCATATGCACAGGCAATACAAAAACAAAAAATGGCGTATAAATTAATTCTTCTAAATATTTGTTTGCACCAGCTGTGGGTGGGCGTGGCATTTAACTAATAATTGACGCCTAGAGCGTGTATGTGTATATATATGTGTGTGTGTGTGTTAAATTATAATATAAACTAAATTAATTTAGCAATTAAAATTAAAACTAAATTTTTGTTGTTGTGCGGCTGCGGTGGGGATGGTTGGGGAGAGTAGCTGCTGTGGATGTTGTTGTAGCTGTAGTTGTTGCATCTGCTGTTGGTTGTTGGCTGTTTGTTGTTGCTCGGGCAGCGACTACGAAAATTTGTTTGCTGTTGTAGTTGTTCTAGTTGTTCTGGTTGTTGTTCTGGTTGTTGTTGTATGATTTAACCTTTTAACGTTCGTTGAATGGTTGTGCAGCAAGAACCGAAAGCAAGAAAGAAAAAGATAGAACAAAAATAAAGCGCATATAAAGAGAGTGGTGTGTGGTATCAAAGAAAAACTACAGCAAATTTACGAATATATATATACATATACAGATATATATTTATGCGAAATATAGTTGTACGAGAGAGCAAGCAGATTGTGGTGGGAGCAAGAGAGTGTAATAAAGGCGACTACACGGAAGCACGCTAGGTAGCCTGAGAGAGAGAAAGAGGCAGCGCTAGCACTGCGTTTTATTTACCTTGATAATTCTGAGGCCAAATGGTGGGTACATTCTGTAAAGAGAAAGAGAGAGAGATATTAGTATTAATTCAAATGAAGTAACAAAGTAAGGCGCTATCTGTTGACCGCAGTCGGTACTGAGTAAGAGGGCACATATAAGGCGCTTTCTGTCGATCGCAGTAGGTACTAAAGCATTGTTTAACTGACAGGGTGTGGCGCTATCTGTTGGACCGATATGGCAATAATTGACAGGATAAGTTTAAGGTGGCGCTATCTGTTGGGCCGATAAGGCGATAATTGACAATCATTACCCGCTAATGTTATTAAGTATTGATAATAAACAAAAGATTGTTAGATTAGAGTTCGCTTCAAGAATGAAATCTCTACTATAAACCCCTATAAATAACGATATGTGTCTGGATGTACTTACCATTGGCACGCTGTAGTACTGATAGAATGGCTGATATTGCATGGCTGAAGGTGGGTAGATGGCTGGCACGCCAGCGGCTGTAAAGTCAGTAACTAGTTTTGGTTAATTTGTCCAGCGTTACATAGATGGTTATGTGTTGTTGTTGTTGGTTGTTGTTGAGAAGAGAAGAGTACAAATGGAATACAAAAAAAAAAAGAAAATATTTCAACCAAAGTACACGGAATTTTTAACATAAGCCACGATTCAAATTTTGAGCTAGAATTTGGAATTGACTTTTGAAACTCACCTGGCGGATAGACGGCAGCTGCAAACTGATCCATGGGTATATTGCTAATCGGTGCCGGCGGCGTGGTGGTATAGTAAACGGCTCCATTGGTAGCCACAATCGACTGCAGCGGATTTGGCTAGTTGGAATTTCGATTTAATTATAATGCAAAGCTCATATATACAATGGGGATCAAAATAGAGCAACCGCTAGTCGTGCACTTGCACGCAAATTATTATAAAAGGCAATGCCTTGCAGTGGCACTTATTTTGACCGCCACTGTATGCTCAAAAACTTTAAAACTCACCTGCTTTTTGATGGCCGGTGCGATGTTCAGCTTCCGATCGCGCAACACCACACACTCACCCTGATTGAGGAGAGAGCGTGTGTGTGCGGGAGAGAGAGGTGTGAGAGAAAGAAAGCCAGCGAATGGAAGAGAGATAAAGAGACAAAAAGCAAATGCATTAGAAAATATTTTACTAAAATTCTTTCGATTGTGGCAAGAACTTGTTGTGTTTGGTCGTGTGTGTGTGTGTATTGTCTGTGTGTGTGTGTGGCATCATCAACAGACAAGCCAAAACGAAATTCAAATTGAAAATTTCAAATTCAAATTCAAATCGAACGCAGCAGCAGCAAGAAAAAATGTAAGAAAATTTAAGAATCTGCTTTTGGCAGCGGCAGAGCCCAAAAAATGTGGCCACAAGATTTGCAGAAAAACACGTGCCAAGCCACAAAATAAAAGAATGGATTATCAAAGTATAATGTAAAATATATATATATATATATCTATCAAGTTCAGATTGTATATATATAGTGTGTATTACAAAATGTCATGTACTGCAATTCGTATTGGAATTTGCTTGAAATGAAAGATGTTTCTTTGTTCTTGAAACGCAACGTAAAAACAAACTAAAAATATATATAGAAATATATCAAATATATTATCATATATATATAAAGCGTTTCGATTCAAGCTTTGTTTTGTTTTCGTTTCAATTGGCAACACCCGCAACATTCAATTCAAATTAATAGCTATTATAAATGGTTTTTAAATTTACCAACGCCAACACCAAAATTAAGTCCAACAAATGTACAGTTAAAACAAAAGTTTCTTCCAAATGAACTAACCTCAAAAAATTACATATGATATGGGAGTTGTGGGTTAGTTAGGGTTTCGATAGAGATGGAAGGTGGGATAGACGCCGAGTTGCCACCTGGTTCAAACTGATATACTAGCTAAAAGAATCTGTATGGATACAATATGGTTTGCATCTTTAAAGCGACACAAACTTGCTTGAAGAGTTGCCACCTAAGCTTCATCAATTGGGCTGCCACCTAGTTTTATTGCTTAGTGAAAGTCACAAAGCAAGGATAATTGGTATGCTTCCTATTCTGCCATGCTATTTTTCGAGCTGCCACCGTGGGATCCTTTATAGAGCTGCTACTTGTTCAGCAACGGCTAATTATGATAAGGTTGCCACATAGTTTAGAAAGGATTCGAAAGAAAGACATTTAATCTGAGTTAGGATTGTAGGTGTAGACCAGCTATTTGATTATCTAGAAAGAAGTGGCCAAGAATGAATAATCAAGTATCTTTCCATCTGCCTTTATAATCACTTCCGTCTTTCATATTCCATTACATTTCATACCTAGCTATTGATAAGCTGTCTGCCATTATAACGGCCCACCACTGTACCTGTCTGTTGCCGTCTGTCAGTTGCGGTTGGTTACATGGGTCAGGTTTATCTTTAATTGCCAATTAGGCGCTGATAGCCGCAGCAATTTGCACTTGAAATGCATGAAAGGCCCTCATAATGGGCGCACGCACTTCGAGCGCCCAGCGAACCAGCGAGCGGGTGGCTCGACCACATGCGAATGATGGCTGGCAGAGCAGATCCTAAGCAAATGTTTGTTCCCTTCTTAAAGTTCTTTTAGCGACGGACTTGTGCCGCCTCGATTTTTTATTCATTTGTGCGTTTCGAGTCTCTCGAGTCTGGTGTATCCTTCTTTGACCGCCGCTGGGCAAACACACAGAAAGAGCGGGAGCGGGTGGTAGGTAGAGGGGGGAAATAAAGCAGCGACGTCTTTTCATTTGAGCAGCATCATAAAGGACGTCAGCAAGGATAAGCGCTGCGCAACACAAAAGGCCGACCCACACACACACACACAGCTGAATAATAAAAATGAGAAAAGACTAAGGCAAAAGAGTTGGTCGCCCGAGCAGCAGAAGGACGACCCACTTTTGTCTTGGACGAATTTAATTAAGAACCCTCAAAACGAGCCTCAAATGCGGGGGCGGCTGCTGCTCCTTTGTTACCGCTACCACACACACACGCACACAAAAAGGACAACAGCAGACGTTTTACTGGTCCATTTATAAAGTATGGAAAACAGCAAAATGGAGTCCCTACCACTACACTAGCTCTATGATCGGTCGAGTATATATTATAATTATCCTATTTACGCTTGCTATCAAAAAGTTACAATTCAATTTTTTCATTTGCCTTTTGAAGTGGGGAAAGGTCGTTGAAAAGGTCCAAGTGCATGACTGAGGGTGTGTGTGTGTGTGTGTGTGTGTGTGTGTGTGTGTGTGTGTGTGTGTGTGTGTGTGTGTGTGTGTGTGTGCGCATGAATGTATGTCAAGTATGTAGTTTATATTATTGAATTATTGCTGAACTCGAATCTGAAAGCAGAGTTCAGATGTGATCATGTTGAGGGTCTGCTTCCTGCCTACACCTTTTCGCTTGGAATACTCTGAAGATTGATTCCTATTTCAAATTTGGTTCACAATAGATGATTAGTATCTTTGCTATAGATTTCGGGATGAACGCCATGAATTTTCATGGATTCCTGGAGAAAATCTGAGGAATAGAATACGCTTAAAGTAAATTTTTAAAAGCTTGAATATCTCTTCCAGTTTCCTAGATATTTGAAGTATTCCTCGCTAAAGGATTTGTGAATATTCCGATGACTATATATTGCTATCAAAAGTCGATAGAAGTTTCTTTACAAATTTGATGTATTTGCTGCGACATCCAAAACATTAAGTAAATGTCAAGAGAGCAATAATAGAGAGGTGCTGTTAGTGTGAAGATGTGTGTGTGTGTGTGTATGAAAGAGTTTGTTTATGTTAGCTGTTGGATGTATGTATATGTATGTGTATGTATATGCAGTCAGGAGACCAAGCTAAACTCTATTCAGGGGCTATGGCTAGACCTTAACACAAAATTTTTGGTTAAACGAAATTTAATTAGTGCAAAATGTAAGCATGAGTGTGTGTGGGTCGAATGCATGTGTGTGTGTGTGTGTGTGGTTTGCTTGGCTGGTTGGTTGGTTGGTGTTGTTTCGCATTAAAACCTCGTTAAACGTTGCCACGGCTGGCTGGCTGGTCTCTGGTTGGCAGGGCTCCATTGTTATTTAGCCTAAGGAGAAGGGCGTTTAGCGAGCGCGGGCATGGCACTATATATGTAGACAAGGACACACATGTGCGCTGAGAGCTGTGAGTGTGTTTGTGTTACACTGAAAATGTGCAAAGCGCCAGCAGCGCAATAACAATGCACATTTAATGACAAGTGGAAAACTTTTTCACTTAATGTATGCCACACACACACGGAGAACACAAAAGAAGATACAAAGGCGATGGCAGGCAGGCAAAAGAGGTAAAGGCAGGGGCAGAGATGTAGCTGCTGGCAGCTGAGGTTGTTATGCAACACTCTAATCAAAATGCAATACAATTTCTAATAAGGCTTTCGCGCTATGACAGCGAGAAAAGAAGCTTAGCTTTAGGAACTAGACTTGGCGGCGAGAGCAAGCGATGGAGATGGGAAGAAGGCTCTCTTGGGGTTTCAATAAACTAGACTTACAGAAGGTGGCTAGAGCAACGGACAAAACTGTGGGTAAGGTGGCAGGGAGGAAGTTACCTAATAAGCAGATTAAAGCGAACTTTATTTGGTAACTAGACTTGAAGAGAAGGATGAAAGGGGTAGATAAAAGCGAAAGTAAGAAACCTTACAGAGCGTAAGAGGTTTGCAAGGGGTCAGAGAAAGAATCTGAATTTTTAACTGATGATGAGCGGGACGTATAAGGCAATGAGATGTGTAATACTAATAACAGAAAAGGTCTGCAGTGTGGGTTTGTTATTAGGGTTCAGCCTTAATGAAGCTCTCAGCTCTCAGAAGAAAGCTTGGAAACCCAAGGAGGGGCTAAGAGACGTAGGGGTTTCAATGATACTAAATGCTCTCTCAGCCTCGCTCAGAAGAGCATGGATAGCGCTAGCTATAGTTAGCCATTCACTGGGAATTACCGCTTATGGTAATAAGCTAACTGCCACGCCTCTGCCCCCAGCCCACACAATTAGTATAAAAAAATATCGCAAATGAAAAAATAAAAGTTTCGTATCAAATGTACAGCAGAATAAAACAAATAATGCACTAGGGTCTAGAGAGCTCCATATACAATATATATATAGAATTTGATCTAGATGAGGTCTACGCTATATACGTATTTACACTATATTAACAAGACCGAGGCGTGGGCAATTAGCTAATTTGATTAATTTGCGCTTAATAAAAGTTAACAGAGAGAATACAAATAAATGATAAAAATGAAATTAGAACAGGTGCACAACGCAACGCCAAACGCAACTTGGATGTTATCGACAGCACAGGTATCGATAGCAAATAAATATCAACGGGACTGCCGTCGAGCTAACGAGCCAACAAATGCAATTCGATTCACTAAAACTATGTTAAGTGTACACATGTGTGTGTGTGTGTGTGTGTGTGTAGGTATTGGTTGTGTGTGTGTGATGAATTTGTAATATAATGTAACGTAACGTAACGTAACGCAACGGAAACGTAACTCGTAAACGTAACTCAACAAAAACGCAATTAGAAGGAAAATACAAGTAAAATACATAAGAGAATTACAAGTGCCGTTACTCGTACCGTCGATCGATACACACAATCGATAAATCGAATAAACGATAAATACTCGTTCACACGCTGGTTGCGACGTCGCTGTCTGTGGGTCAGCTAATGCCCTAAAAGATTCGGAGGCACATTATAACTTTGTTGTTTTTTTGCAGCTGTTCGAGTGAGCGAGTATAATATATTTATATATATGTGTGTGTGAGAGTGTACGTGTGTATGTGTGTGTGGATATTTCGATAAATCATAAATCGATAAACACAAGCGACATTAGCAAAAGTGCATAGAAGAGTGCAGTAGGTAATATTCATTTCGACTTACATCCGCCTGCAGTCTTTGCGCCTCCTGCTCCGTCTCGAATGTGACAAAGCCGTAGCCCTTGCTAACACCGGCGCGATCCACGATGATCTTTGTGCTCTTCACGGTGCCGTAGGCGCTGAAGACGCGCGTCAGATCCGCCTCGGTGGTGTCACCACTGAAATAAGGATATTTATTGGTATTTTTACGGTATTTTTTATTTTGGCATTCCCGCTCACCTTATGCCGCCCACAAAGATACGATTGGGTATGAGTGTGCCGTATTTGGGCGCTGCCAGCGGTGCCTCCAATGCTCCAGCTGGCGCTGTGGCCGCAGCTGGTGCGGCTGTTATCTTGTGCATTTCGGCTGGTGTCGTCTCCAGACGAAAATTGGCACCGAAGGGCAGAATCTTGAAGCTGTTATTGATTAACTCCGGGGGGCGCAAAGTAGTTTCTAGTATTTTAAATATATATATATATTATATATATATATATTTATTTATATATCTATAGCAAATAGTTTTTCTATTGGTTTTTTTTTTTTAGTTTTAGGCTCTGTTTGTGCGTCTTCTGCTGCTGTTGCTTCGCTTTTCTAGTCTAACACGCATTAATATATCGATATATATCTATATTTTAAATATATATATATACATATATATATTGTATATATATATATATTTATCGACCGTGTCACGTCGCGTCACATACAATTCACGATGGCTTCCAGTTTCCTTTTCTTTTTTGCTTTTGCTTTTTGTATGCTAGTTCTATGAGAGAGAGAGAGAGAGAGAGAAGAGAATTAGTTTTGCTTGTGAAAGAACGCGCTGCTAGAAGCAGACCTAGAGACAGCCTCTTATCTGCTGCTGTTGATCTTCGTCGTCGTCTGTAAAACAGAAAAAAATTGCCCCCTACATTTCGAAATGCATCTATTTTTGGCACACAGCGACGACATATGTCACAAGTGAGCGAGAGAGAGAGTGAGCGAGAGCGACAGAGAGGGAGAGGCTGACACTCTGCTGAGGTAGCTCGGAGACAATCGAGCGACATGTGTGCGCCATAAATTCACCTTCAGCGGCAAGCAAATAGCGCAGAGAGTTTAAATATAACAGAACAGAATAGCAGCAGCAGCAGCAGACGATGAACACAAAGTTGACAACAACAAGAAGAACAAGAGCAACAATGAAATGGCCAAAATAATGTATCTAGCAATTGCCCGGCTACAGCTACTAATACAAATGCAGTTTAGTCCGAGTACACACAGCTACAGTGCACGCTCGCTCGATAGAACAGATGCTTTAATAATGTGCATAAAGGAGATATTGTATCTAGCTCTGTTTGATTAGATGTTTGATAATAAATTCGACATTCGCTGATATGTAGCATTTATTTTTGTAGCTTGAAACCTTATTTTAGATACCAAAAACATTTATACGTTTTCTATTGCCAGAATTTTATGTTAGTTTTTTATGGCTCTATTGCAGATGTGACGAATTGTTTTCAATTTGCTAAGTCAATTTCAGTTGATATAGAACAGTTTCTTAGGGTTCTCGATAATTCCATAAACTATTAAGAATATGGAATATGGCATAGAACTTTTAGCTCTGCCAATTCGTCTCTCGATAATTAAGTACGAAGAATATGGAATACAGAGAAGTTGGCATAGATTATAAAATACAGTGTATAGCAAATATGTAAGGCAACTAGCAACTATACTATTATATATATATATAAATATTACTACTATATATATTCTATATATTTTCAAGAACAATTCCCAATAGACTAATACAACTTAGCATCTAATGCTCCGCCCTTTCGCATAGTGTTTTCTCCTACAATTGCCATTATTATCTTTAGCTTATCGCAAGCTGGCTACCCATTCCTTCTCTTGCGTGTCCACTGTAAATAGCTAATTAGGGACAACCGTTAATATGTTTGCTTAAAGCGACAATTTTCGTGTCTAAATTGCTTAAATCGAACTGCATTGCCTTTAGGCGGGCGGACACGCCCCCTAACAACATTTGGCCCAAATGCAAGTACAGTGCTTATCGCCCAGCGACTGACAATAGAAATAAAAAAATAATTATAATTTCATTAACAATCAATAAGTCCAAATTGATGGCGCTTCAGCGATAAAGTTATGCGTGTGAGGGTGTGCGAGCGTGTGTGCATAGGTGTGTGTACACACAGTGTGTGTGTGTGTATCAGCTAATGCTTGTATCTACACGTGATTATTGCTCACTTCTGTGCTTGGTTCCAACTCTCTAGGCCATAAATCACAAGCAATAAATAACCATAATATATACATATAAATAAAAGAAAAACTAATTATAAAGATGAACATGGATATAGATGCAGATATACGCATATATATATATATTTCAATATACATATAAATATATGTATATGCTCTCATTAAATCGCGTCACATTTCCAATTAGAAAAAACAAAAATGAATTTTCAAATTTATTTATAAACAAAATTTGGAAAACAGAAGTATATAAAACGAGGTTGGTTCAAAGAGTAGCCGGTACTGTGTGAAAGGAATATAAAATAGGCCAGATAAATGAATATAAAATCTAAATTTTTTAAATTACCCTCGTATATATCTCATTTAAAAAAGGAAAAAATTGTTGAAAAACTAGGAAAATGAAAAGCTTTTCCACTAAGTGCCTGTCCCTGACACGAACAGAATTCTCAGCAGCTTAACTTATTTACATTATGAAATGCGTGGGCGCTGACGCCGGGCGTGGCAGCAAGTCGTTAAATTGTAAGAGCAATTGCATTATTAAAATGCCCATCAAAAATGATGGGCCCTGAAAATTGGCAAAGTCAGCGGAGCCGTCAGAGGCGTCGTAGCAGTCGAGCAGCTTCGAAGCATTCGAAGTTGTAGAGGTCAACCGGAAAAATCACGGGCCAAAACAACATGACAACATGGAACGCCAATCAGCGGAATTTAATCAACAGCAGCCACTGCTGTCGCGTCCCGCCCCCGCCGTGCACGACCGCAGCTCACCTGCTGGTCGACATTATATTGCGAAATTCCACGTGCGAAAATTGCACGCGTAATGCCAATGAAAACGAACCACCAAAGAATTTAATAATAAAACACAAAGCGAGTGCACCAGCAGCAATAGCAGCAGCTGGGGAAGTTCAATTTATGGACTGTGGGAATTGCTCTATTAAAGCTATCGATAGTGGTATTTAACAGATTTATCGATGCTTACATATGCAGCGCTTGTAAATAATCGATTATTGTTCATGATTCAATTAATCGATTATATTGGTATATTACTATATACTCCATTTATTTATGTTATGTCATAAGAACTATACGCTCGTCTATAGAGTAGCATCATAGAATTACGGTAAACGACATTGATTTATCGATAACATGGTTTTTGTTGATCCATCTTTTAACCTATTGTTTGATCATATCTTGTAGCAGAAAGTACCGATAAAAGCCAACTATTTTAGTTGAGGTTTTAATGAAGAATTTAGAAAAGCGTTTATAATTAAATTGGTTGGCTTGATAAGTATCGTTATATCGAACAGTCTTGTTCAGATAACTACTGATATTTCTGCACACAGTGATTTAAAAAACTCAAATCTACATTTGATAATTAATTTTCATTTAAATCGATAATTTAATACGGAACAACTTCTATAGCCAAAATTTTTTAAAATGCAATTTGGGTTATTCTACATTTTGGCCAAGAGCTAATCCCAAAATCCTGTTGTGCTGATGTGCGCTCATTAAAAATGTATTTCACAAAACTGCAAATGGACTCCAGTTAGCACACACACCCACATACAGTTATGTATACACAACAGATACATACTGAGAGCATATTCATGTTGTTAGCCTTCATGCAAGGCATTTTGATTGGCTGCAGGGCAAAAGCAACTGAAACAGAAATCAGATTCAGCCATGCAACAATTCAACAATTCCGGAGAGTTTTTGCTGCTGCCCCAAAATAAAAAAAAAAAACAACATTCAGGCATTCCGTTTTACGTTTAACTGAAGCGCCAACAGTGCATACCCTGTAAATGAGCAAGCAATGAAGGGGGCTTAACAGACGAAAAATACAATAAGCTGTAGCTTTCATATATACGAAATGGCGAGTGGTTAGTTACAATTTAGTTTTGACCAAAATCGATAAATATCGATAGATGTTTTTGGACTAACTTAGGTGAAAGCATTATCATCCGTATAGTGATATTCCTAGAGCGTATAACTGCAACATAGTAGCCGAGGGCTGTTGGTCGCTTTTTTTTTGCATTCCATTCCCCTTCTTCAATAGTTTTTTATTTTTGGCACAATTCAAGCGCAACTTGGGCAATTAGGGCAATGCAATTAGTAAGTGCCAAACTATTGAAAAACCAGACGGGAGTACAAAGCAAAAAGGAAAAGAAAAAAGAGTGTAGACGTAGGGTAGAGGAGCTGGCAGGAGTCGTGTGCAACATTTGACCTATAAAAATGAGGGAAAAATGTGTAGCGCTTGAGTTGGCATAGATAGCAAAAGTTAAGGCAACAACGAGCGCCAACGAATGCAGCTAACCTCCAAGGCAAACGCAAACATAGGGCCAAGACGGGGGCGAGGACAGCAGCCAAACGTAACTGCCCACATGAGACGCAAATTGTAGATAAAAATAGTGCAGCAGCGCACCTGAGCGCCGACGGCAATGTCCTTGCCAAAATAAAAGACCACAGAGGAGGAAGAGGGCAGGCATGAGAGAGATGTAAAGAGAGAGGGGCACAAACAAAGCACAAGATAGTCAAAGGCTGATAGAAGCGGAAGGAAAAAAGGAAAAGCAGCAACGCCTCGACTAACACAACAGGAAGCCAAAGGCAGCAGGAAGCAGGGGCGTGGTAGTTAGCAAGGGCGGAGAGCAGGAGACTAGAAATTTGTCTGATAAGCGAATGTAAGTCACATAAGGACAATTAGCCAAAAGCTCAAGAGGCTTTAAGCCTTTGCTAAGGCTATTTTCTTCTTTATTTTTTGTTTTTGGTAGCCAAGCAAACAAAAGCAAAAGCAAAAGGCTGAGCTGCAAATTCGCAGCCGAGCGCGTGCTGCCGCATAAGTTGGCCAAAATGCTTATAAGCCAGGCCAAGAGTGTGGGTGGCATGAAGGCAAGGCGACCTGCACTCAGTCAAAGGTCAATTGAAGTTGCGGCCAAGCAGACAGCCAGCGACAGCAGCCAAGTCAAGTGTAATGCGAGAAAGCGCAAAAATGGCACACCAATGTACACACACACACACACACACACTCACACACAACACATAGCTGCTGACTGACAGGCTTGGCGGAAGTGGCTGCCATTTCAGCTCACGCCAAAAAAAGAAGCAAAAGTAGGACCAGAAACATGTTACACAATCCTTGAGCGTATGTGTGTGTGTGTGGGAGGCGGCTGAGCGGGTGCAGGCGTGGCGAGGACATTGCTGCTTGCTTTGGGTGTCAGTCAAGTGAAAGGAAATTGTA